CTGAACAAACACCATACCTTACAAAGGATAGGAAAAAAAGGAAGAATAATGATCTGCTTTCGAAGGAAAGAAACAGCTTGCCTTCGGAACCAACCCAGCATCCTAATCATTTGTTGCTAGACCATAAATGCTGACTATTACCTTGTACCACAATTTATCCTGCTCTAACAGAAACTTCCAAATTCACTTCCCTAACAATGCCATATTCCTCTTCTTGATGTTACCCAAGGCCCCCTTGCCCCTTGCTCTGCGACACCAATTCCTATTTCACTAAGGGATCTTTCTTAGAGTCACCCTGATCCCAGAAGAAATCTCTCATAGTTTTCTCTAGTTTTTTGGCAATTCCCACTGGGATACTAAAGGTAGACAAAAAGTAAACTGGAAAATTTCCTAGAGTGGACAATTTATTTATCAAAAAAAGAAAATTCCTAGAGTGGTGTGGACTGAGTTAGGGTGATTCTACCTCCTAGTGAAATATAATTTCTTTTCCATCTGCTTTTTTTTTTTTTTTTGCAAATCTCTCTAAGACTAGGGCCCAAAAACCTTCGAAATAAGGATTCCCCCAGAGGCAAATCCAAATAAGTCAAAGGCCAATCCTCCACCTCACACACACCCCAAAACAATAGTTGGTCTAACATCTGCTTCTCTCAATTTGTTAACTCCTACCAAACAACTTTGTTCCCAATTTACCTTAAGATAGCAAACTCTTTTAAACTGGCTGACCAAGCTGTTTCATCTTTACAGCAAAATGCATGAATCATGATATGAGGGGTTAAAATTATCGACTAAGGCACATCCAAAGTTGTACTAGAGTGGTTGGTTGGGAAATTGTGTGTCTGTGTGTGTGTGTTTTTTTTATGAATGTTGTAGGTGTATTATGATCCAGTTTAGGTGTTTTTTTTTGGTTGGAAGGAGTTGTAGATAAAATTACTGTTGTCCATTCTAATGTGTAATGTCATATTCTACTTGGCAAGGCATGGCAAAGAAGACCACAAGACCACCTTGGTGCATATGATTGAATACTAAGGGAAAAAATGCAGCTAATGTTGGAATGAGTGTATTTCCTTCTTGTTATTATTACCCAAAAGAACTAAAAAGTAGAACATAATCTGAAGTGTGCCAAAATATGGCCTTGAAGATTTTTTTCTTCATCTTTCTTTTTCAAGCGTTTTTTATTTTTGCTTTTGCTTTTGTTTTTGTTTTTTTTGTTTTTTTTTTTATTTGGGGGGGGGGCTGTTTGATTTTCCTGGAGCAGTCTTAAAGAAATCAGAAACAAAAAGGAGGTATCCCTAGATAGGAAATAGCTAGGAGGTAATATTGCAGGGTCTTAGAGAAATCCTTGGAGCCTTTACCTTCAACTTTTGATGTTGTGCTTTTCTCTGGGCCGTGGCATTGAACAAGTGTCTCACCAAAATGAATCTGGTGAGGAGAGGAGTCCTCCAGGACCTGTCCTGTGTGTTATATAATCAAGTGGAAGAAGATAGTAACCACCAATTTCTGCACTGCTCTGTCTCCACTACAATCTGGAACCACTTCTTGATCCTCGGGCATCTCCACTGGGCTATGCCAGCGTCTGTGTGTGGCCTATTGTGGTGCTGGGATCAAAGAGGGTTGTCCAAGGTAGCAAAAAGTGTATGGTCCTCCATCCCTGCTGCAGTAATCAATACCATTTGGGCCGAAAGAAACAACAGAATTTTCAAGAACAAGCACAGTGAAGTGGATCAACTAATTTCCTTTATTTTTGGGAAGTTAGTCTTCTGGACTGCTGCTGTGAAAGGGGTTCAACCAAGGGTCTTGGGAGCCCCAACTGATTGCTGGTGATATCTTGTAATGCATTCTTGGTTTTGGGCCCCAGTTATGTTGAGGGGCCAATTGTATTCTGATTCTGGTTCTCTATTAGTAATATTTACCTTACCTTTTTCAAATTTTTTTTTGTCAAAATTTCAAGGTTTAAGAGTTGCTTACTACTTAAAATTTAATGAATAATGGATGATAGGATGGTTTACTTTTACTTATCAAAAAAAGTGTCAGGGTTTGTGCAAGGGAGACAAATAATTGATCAAATCCTGATAGCTAATGAATGTGTGGAGGAAATGAAGAGGTCCGGTCAACAAGGTTTTGTTTGTAAGTTGGACCTAGAAAAGGCATATAATGTAGTAGACTGGAATTTTTTGATTGAGGTATTAAGGAGTTGTGGATTTGGACAAAGATGGTATAATTGGATGAAGGGTTGTGTCAGTTCCTGCCATGTTTCAGTGTTGGTCAATGATGTGGTTAGGGATTTCTTTACAGTCTGCAGAGGCCTAATACAAGGTGACCATCTCTTGCCCTTTCTTTTCACCCTTGTAGCTGATGGCTTTAGTAGATTAATCATAAAAGCAGATAGGGAAGATGTGTAATAAAGGGTTGGAGAATAGGTAGAAATAGAGTTCTGGTAACCCACCTCCAGTTTGTTGATGACATAATAATTTTCTGTGAAGGAGTGGACCTGGGTAAGGTCAGGAATCTCAAAGGTTTGTTAACACACTTTGAGAGTATTTCCGATCTGAAGATAAATTTGGACAAGAGCTGTGTGTTGGGCATTAATATGGATGAGAGGCTATTGGTTCTATTGCAGAGTGTTTAGATTGTACTAGCTCTTCCTGGCCTGTCTTACCTAGGCCTTCCTTGGGTGCTAACCCAAATGGGAGTTGCTTTTGGACTCCAATATTGGAAAAGTTTTAAAAAGGTTGGCAACTTGGAAAGAGAGTTGTATCTCTATAGGGTGTAAAGTAACCTTGCTGAGAGCTACCTTAGCTAACTTGCCAGTTTATTATCTCTCGGTGTTTAGAATTCCTGTTAGGGAGACCAAGAAGTTAGAGAGATTGATGAGGAACTTTCTTTGGGAACCAGTGGATGAGAAAAAGGACCATTTGATAAGGTGGGATGTAGTGTGTAGAAGATATTTAGGTGGGTAATTCAGCTCTAAAGGACCTATTTCCTTCCCTTTGTTCCATCTCCATGCTTAAATTGAAGGTTATTTCTCATTTCCTCTTCTCTACTGTCCTTCCTCAGTCTCTAAGTTGGAATTTTGGGTTTCGAAGGGGCTTAAGGGACAATGAACTTGCGCGTGTTTCAGACCTTCTTCTTCTGGGCGATGTATTTTTTTGGACCCCAATCAATTGGACAGGAGGATTTGGAGCCCCCATCCAAAAGGCTCCTTCTCTTGTGCTTCTTTTTTAAGTCCCTTTGTTCTTCTTTCGGTCAGAGGGTTTTCCTGTTTAAGGAGGTTTGGACTAGGCCTGTTCCCCCTAAAATTATGGTGTTTTGCTGGGAGGTGGTTTATGGAAAAATCGATACTTAGGATTGTTTGCAGAAGAAAAGGCCTTTCATGTGTTTATCTCCTAACAAGTGTATTCTTTGCAATGCCAATGGTGAGGATTGTTTCCACTTACTTTTATCTTGCCCTTTTGCTTAAGCTATATGGAATTGGATTTTTGCTTTGTTTGGGTGTAGGTGAACCCTACCTACATATGTTTGGGTGCATGTGGAAATGTATTAGAGAAGTGGCCATATGGACAATTTGGGAAGAAAGAAATGCAAGAATTTTTTAGGAAAAAGAAAGAAACATCCAAAGTGTCAAGGATTGCATTTTGACAAGAACAATACATTGGTTGAGGACTATGGTTTCTTTCCAATCCCTTTCCTTTGATGACCTTTGGAGAAGTTGGATAACTGTGGCGGTGAGCTCGCCCAGAAAACATAGGGTGGTTGCAGACTGGTTTCCTCCACCTGAAGAGAGTGTAAAGTTGAACTTCGATGGGAGTAGTCAGGGTAACCCAGCACCATTTGGAATAGGAGGGGTTTTGAGAGATAAGAATTGCAACATATTAGCTCTTTTCTCTGGTCTAGTAGGTTTGGGAGATTCTAATAGGGCTGAACTCTTGGCAGCCCTACAAGGTATTCAAATTGCACATAAACTTGGAGTGGAAAATTTAATAATTAAAAGAGACTCTAAAGTTGTTGGGGGTTGGCTGGCTGATTCGGATTCAGGGGTTTGGTGCTACAGGGATCTCTTAAAGAAAGCCAAGTGGTTAACAAGAAACATGTGCATTAGTTTACACTGGGTGGGAAGGTCGGCAAATGCTTTGGCTGATTTCTTTGCTAAACAAGGGGTTAATAGGGAAAATTTGTATTGGGCTGCACTTGTAATTCCTTTTAAGGAGAGGTTGCACCTCATGCCTCTCCTTGGGATGCTTGTAACAATTTTCTCATCTTGTTAATAAAATCATCATTCAATTATCAAAAAAAAAAAAAGAAGTATCTGGTTTGAGTTAACAGTTGGATTTTGGCGATTTGACCAAACTCCAGAAAGGTCTGGCAGCCCATCTTGGTCAGGCAATGGATTTTAAAGGGTCAAGTAGGTGATTTGTTTTAAGTTTCTATTTTGAACTATTTATTTGTTTATTTATTAATTTATTAATTCTGTTAGTTCTCTTATATGCTTTTTGGGGAAGTCATCATGGGCTCTACTGGTTTACTTTAGTAATATAAGGGTTTGAACTAGGTTCAATTGAGGTAGGATAAAGAATTAGGGCTTCCTATATAAGTCATTTTTTAAAGAGAATTATGGTATGTTGGAATCATTTTTATTGAACTTGCATTTATTCTTCATTCTTCTCTTTCTTGAATACATTTTTGGGCTTGATCTGCTTTTATACAACTCTGTGGATGCAGTGTGACATGTAATGTTTTCATATATTTGCTTTTACATTAAATACAAAGACATACCATTATCCATATATAAACACTTGGAAGTGTGTTTTAGATTTAAAAGCAGAAAAAGATATGGGATAGATGGTAAAGTAGGGACCTCTTAATTGTTGTACAAATGCTTATCCATCCTGGAAGTTTTTGGAATTTCCCCATGTAAATCATGATTCCATGTTATTACATATTGTGCATATATGTAGGCAATCTAACCTTGAAACATTCACTAGCTCTTCTGTTCTTCTGTATAGTTTTATGCCCATTCATACTGGGGCAGAAGCAGACCTTCGATTTGTATTTTGTGCTGGTAAAAAGGACAACAACTCCTTTAATTCTTTGATTCTATTATTGTGCTATCTAAATTTGTGTTGCACTTTTTTGGAGTACCAATAGAGTTTGGTGATGTTTCAGCTGCCATATGTTTTGTGCTGAACAATTGGAGTGGAATTGACAGAGAGAAAGCCAAGGACTATATACTAAATTGCCAGGTCTAGCTACTACACCCCTCTATAATTTCTATAGGTGCTCTCTCTCTTCTTTTTTTTGATCAGTACGCTATCTCTCTTCTAAATAGTGTGTATTTCCTAACCATAGACGCACTGTTGGTTGCAGTCATATGACGGTGGCTTTGGCTTAGTTCCTGGTTCAGAATCTCATGGTAAGAGTATACATTGCAGATTTTGTCTGATTTTATCTATATTTATTTGTCTTCTCTACTAATTTGCAGATTTTTTTATTGGAAACGGTAACCTCCTTAATGAATTTTCAAAATACAACTGTCAACCCCTAGTAGAGGGAGTTGAACCACAAACACTGTATTACAAGACTGCCCCCAACAGTCCCTTGTTTTGCTAATGTATCCGCTAGTCCATTAGCTGATCTTCTTATCCACTTAAAGCCAGCACCAATCTCCCTTGTTAGGTTGATAATTTTCCTTAACAATTGTCTATGTGTCCATGCTCCCAAACTACCTGACTGCAGCCATCCAATTAGTTTGCAGAAATTTTGTCTGACCTAAATGCATGTGAAAAGAAAAAAGTGAGATGGGGACAAACTACTGAGCTCTTTCATTTATTATTTATTTATTCCGTATAAGTTTCTGTATACCATATGTATAAGCAAAGGGCGGTTGTTACAAATTTCTGAAATGATGTATGAAGGCATCGAATGATAAATGATGTACAAAATGACTTTAAACTAGGTTGCAACCTTGTAGGGGTGTTGCTACCAATAAAGCATGGTTCAGAGATTCAGTTTCTTTAGGTATTTTACCATGTGCAAATGGGTAAGTTTCATAAATTTCACTCAGAGGTCTGGAAAATCTGAGGAAATTGGAAATATAAAAATCATTGGAAAAGCATGCACTTGTTTATGAAATTAAAAGAAATTTTAAAATAGGTATAGTTACACTGAAAGTCTAAAGAAATTAACGATGTACAACAAATAATAGAAGATTAAAATTTTAAATAGGCATCCAATGAAATGATTGATTTATTACTGTGTTTAAACAACATTTGGATTTCCATAGTTATTGATTATCACACCCTGATGATCATGCTAGTTTTATGAATAGGACCACCTTATTGCTATGGGTGCTATCTTATGTTTAATTGTTGGGCTGAATTAGAGGCCCATATAATAGAGGTCTCTTAGTAAGATAATAGGCCATTTTTTTGGGTCTACTTCAAAGCGATTTAGGTTCCTTTAAAACCAAATTGTGACCATACCTGAGTGGACCAATAAAAAAAGAGTTAAATGCTTTAAATAAAAGGCCATTCCAGCCACTTAAAATAACTCCCAGTTTGGTTCTTCCTTTCTTTATGTTGGGTGGGGGTGGGGGAGGGAGGTTTCATCCTTTTAACAGGAGGCTCATGTCCCCCCTATTGATCGCAACACTTCTAGAGCAAACAAAAAATTAGAGAAAATAGTGAGAAAAGAGAGGAAGAGAGGAGAAGACTAGGGCATGGAGGAAGAGGAGGAAAGAAGAAGAAAGGTGGGGAAAAGTTGAAAAATACCCACACAGATTGGAATGTTCTCTAAGAAACAAAAGAAAAGCTCTCTTCTTACCAGCCCAAAGCAGTATTTTAGGTAGGAAGAAAGAAATTCCCCTCATCCCTTCAATGTTGATACCTTCTTTCCTCCTATACCATTTCTTGTACATTTTTGTCTGCAAAGAAGAAGAAAGTGTAAATGTAGAAGGGAAGAACCCATCTACATCAACTTGGCTGATTATGGCCCTTCGCCAAAGGTGGAAATCTTGAAGGATGTGGGGAAACAAATCATCTGTAGCTTTTTTTAACTTGGCTTACTGGCTTACTAGTCTTTACAAAATGGAGTTTTCTTTTTACTTGTCAAAAAAATTAGGGTCAGTTGTTTTTGGGGCTAAATTGTAATGTAACTTGTTTGTACTGGTTGGATGAATGTGTACCTTGCACCTCCCCTTGGAAGATTGTACTGGTTATACTTTGCTGCTTTAATAAAATTTGTTCAATTATCAAAAAAATATATATAGTGACTTTTTAAACACAGGCACCATGGTGCTCCATTTCCGTCCATCCTACATTCTTTTCATTATCTTATGAAATAGTTTAGTTAGCTATAATAGGCCCACCTCTTCCATACCTTTTGGACTTCTATTTAAATTCCACCAGGTCTTAATGTCTTTTCCTTCTTCATATTACCTTCTTCACCTCAGAAACTCTAATTCTATTAAAATAAATACTATATTTAGTTATTTTAGAGTTACTAATTTCTCCTCTGTTAGTACCCTTTATAGATTTTCTTTTACTAATTTTTTAAACTATTCCATCTTTCCTTGATTTCTTTATCCTTTATCATTTATCAATACTCTTTGATGCTTCTTCTAATATGATCTAGATCTCTGCCTTTTCTTTCTCTCATATATATATATATATATGAACCTGATTTTCTTGAAAATGCCAAAAGTTAGGTTCGTAATCAGTACACCCCTCCCAAGACCCAGGGTAGCCAGGACAAACATTGGGTATGACCCTTTATCCAAGTTCAATCTGGACCCAACAGATAAGATTCAATTCAAATCCAATTGATTTGCAGCCCTAAACAAGTCTGGGACATTTTGGCATGGTTGTTAATGACTGAGTTACAGCCAGAGGACAACCATTTTGTATACCTTATATAACAGCAAATAGTTATGTTCATAGTATGAAGTAACCGCAAGTTTTTCTCCAAAACAAGGGAAGTAATTAAGTTTTATGTTCAAAAGGATAATGCCAAGACAGTGTTAAATCAGCTAGTTGCTTCAATGGCACAATTCAGTTCATGACCTAAATCCACAAGTTCTTTGTGTTTATGTTTCTTTTTGTCATTTATCCCATCCCAGTTACTTATGGAATTTGCGTTCTTCACTTTCTTCAAAATCTTTATAGCTAATATAGTATTTGAGAGTACTTGCCATCCTTATTCAACTTAGTGGCACAGGTGGTGCAACATACTGTGCGGTTGCAGCTCTCAGATTGATGGGATTCATCGAAGATGACCTCCTGTCGAAGATGACATCATCTTCCATCATTAATGTGCCATTGTTACTGGAGTGGAGCTTGCAGGTGTGTTTTATTGAGAATCACTTGTACTATGCCTTCTTTTTAATCAATAATAAGAGTTAAGGAATATATTAATAGTAGAAAGGTAAAGAGGATTTAATCTTATGTTTCGCTTACTGAGAGGAATAAACAAAAGACTGACACACAGAGGAGTCTAGCCCCCCCCCGCAAAAAAAAAGAAAAGAAAAAAACCCTCAACTCAGCAACACCTTGTCCCAACCTGCGTGAATCATTCAGTGGCATATCATCATCATCATCCAAGCCTTATCCCAACTATATGGGATCAGCTAGATGAATCCTGTTTTGCCAGTCCATTGTTAGATTACTGGCACTTGAATTATTTCTTACTACTTGTTTAGTGGCATAGCCATTGTTCAATTATGGGTCCTTCCTGCTTTTCACCTCACAGTCCTGCATAACTTTCCACCAAAGAATTTGCTGACCTTGATGGTCAGAGTTGTAGCTTTTCTTATGTGATGGCAGTGACAGAACAATGAAGGCCCTTTAACATCTTAAGAAAATAAACCTATGACCACCTGCTGTGAGTTGCCCTTTCTTCTACCTGCTCTGGACTGATATCTAAGATCAACCTGACTCTGGACTGATATCTGAGATCAACCTGAGACCCTGTAATAGTGACATCATTTCTGCTGAGCTAAGTCTCCTGCTGTGAGTCACCCTTTCTGATAATATTTTCTCCAACATCCCTTAAATCTCCCCATACTCCAAAAGGTCCATTATTCCAATAAAGTGGCCATCAAATTGAGTTTCAGTGCTCAATGGGTATAGGGAAGCCAAATTTGATAAGCCATCTTTTAGAGTTAAGAGGATCTAGCAACTGTAGACTAGCTTCAGATGATATCATCAAAGGAGTAATCTCTGGATTCTTCCCTTGGGCATAGCCTATAATTGATTCCAATAGTGATAAGTATTAATTAACAATTGCTAATTAATAATGACATCATTCCATCCCAGATATACCCAAGAATGGGAGCCTTAAATTTGTCCACATAATCTTTCCTTGGTTGGGAGAGTGAAATTCCAACCCAAATAGGCTCAGAATATCAATTGATGGTATCCAGCAGGCCACAAAAGACCTATAAAATGTCTCCAATGTCTAAATGCCTGAAACATAGGGGCATGCAAAGAAAAGGTGAACAGTAGGTTCATCATTAACCCTACAGACAACACGTGGGGGAAAAGGGACGGGTCTTCCTTCTGCATTGTCATATTTCTCAAGTATTAACATTTGGTCGAGGATTCCCAAGGAGGAGACTATCTTAGGAGGTGTAGGATTCTATCAAATGATTTTGACTGGAAACAGCAGTGGAGTTAGGGATCAGAAATAAGGGCTTTGAAAAAGGGGCAGAATGATCCCTGAGGCTGCTTTTGGTTATAGAAGGATAGCTAAATACTGCCACTAGAGCAAAGGTGAGATGAGAGCTCCCTTTTTCCTCTGGATACTGCACTCTCCTTTTTAATTCATTTATTGTGTGGATTTGCAAGTAGATTTGCTTTACCTTTGTGCAGAGGCAAACAATTGGTGGTGGACTTCAAGGCCGACCAAACAAGGCCAGTGACTCGTGTTATGCCTTTTGGTAAGTGTGCTTCTAGGTCTGCTTGTTTAGATGTACTGCTCTTATCTGACTAGACATAATGTGGTTGTGCAGGGTTGGTGGTGTTTTGAAAATCTTAGGGGCACACAAATTCCTAGACAAAGAAGCTCTTTGTGAATTTTTACTAACATGTCAGTCCCAGGTGATACTGCATCTCATCTTTTCTTAATCAGATTTAAATATTAGTCTTAACTATGCATAAACTAACAGGGACGATCTTAACATTTAATATTACTATGAGCCTTACAAAATATTAAATTATTTGGAACACGTACATGGGCAAAATCTTGTTCCATAAACTCTGTATTGTTCATATGGTTTGTAAAAGGCCCTAGGATTAGGAATGCAATGCATAAGATGGTTATGAATATATAATAAGATAGTTTTTAAGAATACCGGAGATTGGAGTCAGCATGCAAAGGCACCATGTTTACCAGTTTATTATTGCAAAATAAATGGACTTAATGGATATCTTAAGTTTCCTCTAAACTAATACTGTTGTTCTAGAGCTTCTGATTTCCAGTCCTGATGTTTCTCTGCACAGTATGGTGGCTTCAGTAAATTCCCAGGACAGCTGCCGGACCTCTACCATTCTTTCTATGCAATGTCTGCATTTAGCCTGTTGGAAGAACCAGATCTGAAATCACTTTGTGTCGAACTTGGTGTAACAGATTTTGCTGCTTAGTTTGTTCAACTGTGCTGGAATTTGGTGCTTATGACTGAATAACAGATTGGATTCCGGTCATGTCTCTATTAAACCCGTGGGAAATGGTAAAATCCAAGTTCCTACTTAATTTAATACTCCTTCCTGATAGCTTTGGCACTCCAAATTCGCAGGATGAATGTTAAAATGCTCTTGTATCAGTAGAATTGTTTAAGTTCTATGACTTGGTGTAGTCTATATAGACAGCAAAAGGGAAAAGGTCATATTCTATTTATAGCCTGTACATTTTCATATCCATGACTTTATATATTGATAATCAAAATAAATGAAAAAAAAAGCTGAAACTTAAACATCGAGCTTTGTTCCATGGGGAGCCTTTATTGTCTTGTAATCTTGTCTCATAAGGTCATTTTCAGTGTTGTTTGGTCACTTGATCATTTTCATACAGCTTAATGGAAGGTTGATCAAGTAAATTGGTGGGTGTTTTCTTACAGCTTATGCAATATAACCGTTCAGGTTTAAATCAGTTCCCAAATATCAATCAGGACAAAAAAACACAACCAGAACCGATATTCAGTCGGTTTGATTGTCAGGTAATCCCAACCCTGACCTTACCATAGAGAGCCTGCAGTTAAGCAGGTTTGATCCCCGCACCTCTATATTTGGATGGATGCAACATACAGAGTCCAGATTTCCTGCGCATGACAACTCTACCCACATAACATAGCAGCCACACATGAGAACATCTCATCCTCTTACATGTTGCTATGCACGGGGAGAATGGTTTGAGTTAATGTGGGGAAAAGATCCAGAGAGCGAGTCCGGATTTCAAGAGGATAAGATGTCTCCATGTGCGGCTGCAATGTTACGTGGGTAGGTGTGGCCATATGGGCAGGAAATCCGGACTCCAATTTCAAACCAAAAAATTAGTGTCATAACCATGCGCCGATTTTTTGGAGAACTTATTATTAGTCCTTTCAGTTAGTTATTTACTGGAGGGAAAACATTAAAAGATTCTTATCTTTATGGCATATTAAAATTAGAGTGGTGGGGTTTGCACAATTTTTTTTGGTAAACATGGTTACATAACATTGGGAGTCTGGAAGTTGAAACTTGCAATCCTTTGTAGTTATAATGAAATCGGTGGCTTTACAATACGTCTTTTTTAAAAGTTTCGGGAACTAATCTTTTTTTAATAAAAATATGCCCAAAAACCAAAATAAAAAAAAAACTTAAAAAATATAAAAGCACATTAATTTTAAGTACTGTTACGCCCCTGAGTATCGAAATTTTGAATCTTGCTATTATGATCGCACCCTTCAATCTTGTACCTCAAATATTCAACCATTTCTTTATGGTAACTCCTCAAATGGTGAATGTTTGAAATCCTCTAAAATACTTAAAATAAACAGATGCTTTCTCACGCACAAGCCTTTTTCTCTCAAATTTGAATATCAAAGTGAAAAAAAAGCTATCCTACCATATGTACACACATACCCAACATAAAAAAAAAAACAAATAATGAAAATGCCAGCCTGAGGGCCGGGATATGTAATCGATCAAAAGTGAACACCCCAGTGATCCATACCGCCAATATCACTCTTGATTGGTTACATAGCCCGATGTATTTGTTTGTAGCATATCCAAAGTAACTTTTAGCTAGGCTGCGGCTGCGAGTCCCGCCTTCACCGGGACAGGATGGGAGGAGGGGGTTCTAGGAGTTTGGGGGAAGGACTACCCCTGTCGTGTACCAAAAACAAAAACAATAGCTGTCTGAAAAAATAGTCAATTATTCTGCAACTCTGTTGTGGTATAATTGATATATACGTATTTATCACCGAGCGCCCAGAATCTCAGAATTCCAATGAAAAGGTGTTGTTTCTTGGGACTTATCTGCACTGCTAGAGCTTGAAGATGAATGAGCCACAGAATCCTGAGAAAAATGTTTAGCTTGTCCCAGTTGATGGTACCGAATTAACTTGAGAATGTACGCATCATCGTGCAAGGAAAAGGGAGTGCTGCCAACAAAAACATAACTGTCAGATAATAAAATTTCCCATGGCACTAATTTTAAGTAAATTCAATCGATTCTCAAGTTCTCAACCTAAAGCCATTTATTATTTATCAGAGCAGAGAAGTGTTTTCCCAATACTTATTTTCACCATTTATCATCAGGAGAAACTACATTTCCGTGGCAATACATTTGCAAGTTTGTTTACTGAAAGTAGGATTAAGTTGTCACGTTTTGAAATGACCAAACTCCAACTGTTCTACAGCTTATGCAACATATCTTCGGTTAAATCATGGAGCACTTGGGAGTAACACTACTTAACACTAAGGCTCCGTTTCCTGGGGTAAATTCATAAGAGTTCAAATTGGCTGAGTACAAATTCTGATTACTTTTGCTTCAGATTTGACTTGTTGATTATTTATGTCAAAGTATAATAAGAAGGAAAATGATGTGGTCCCCAATTTTAAATGAGATAGTGCCAAAGTAGAAATAAGGTGCCAATGCAAAATTTTTATTACCAATAAGTTTAAATTTTGCATCAGGTAAGGGTGCAAATCTGTATCCGACTTATATTTGCATAGCAAACAGAGCCTAAATAGTTTTTCGCTCCAATATAACTTGGAAAGTATCAGCACCACTTACCTATTGAAGTCAAAGTGCACCAACTGCATATCTTCAGAAATCTCTATCTCAACTGTAGCATGAGGACGTGTCTAAATTCAATGCCACGGGAGTGGGGGTTCCAGGAAAATGCACCACCAAAATTAGCATATTGGAATAAAAATTGAAAAGTATTAGTGAAAAATAAGTCACTAAATTGCTAATTCATGTCATGTGAGATACATTTCTCTACAAAGTAGAAATGGATGCCATGGGATAGAATTCATCCATATTGTGCTGTGAAACAAAAATCTATAGATAGAATTTGCAAGAAACTAAAGACAGAATTGTATCTTCCATGAGTTTGTGAGGTCTACTGAATGCAGGCAAGCATGAATCTGTGCAAGATGAATGCATATGGTATTATGGTGAAGCCTCGTAGATAATTTTTCCAAATGCTGTAAGCAGCCTTGTGATATGCATGAACCTCGAGCTTTATTGCCTTGAAATTTAATAAAAAAACGGGTTTGTTGATGAAAAGGGTTCATAGTGTGAACCCTAAAATTCCTACTTTTAGAAGCACCTGGAATGTGCAGGGTTTAAACATCTTGTTTAGAATACCTACCAATTACAAGTTTACCCAAAACACTTAGAGAAGGAAGTTCAGACAAAAAAGTAATTGCAATTATCATTTCTGATTGGTAGTAACTCTAATTATCATTAATTGGCTCTAAATGTTTTTTTCTCACACAAATCACCATAAAAATTTCTTATATTAATAGGCCAATCTGAAACAGATGCAAATTCCATGCTTAAGTACTTGCAAGACCAGCAGAGCTACATCATCAAGGATTCTGAACAACGGCAAAGGATTATGGCTGCAAATCTTTGAGCATAGTTCGTAAAAAGAAAGAACCTTCAGGGGCAATGATTTAAAGTGCTAATTTAAATGAGCAGTTTGCATGTAAAATTCAGTACCAAATGAGGTGCAAATTTATATGTAACAAATGACGGAGAAAACATAGATGAGTATACGATGGTGCTTGTTGAAGCAATTAGAAGGAGAAAGAATATGATAATGATAATGTAAACATAATGAGAAAAAGAAAAAAAAAAAAGATATCAAAGAGAAACTTTAAATATTGGTCAGGGAAAACGAAATGCAAATCCCTTTACCCAAGGAAGAGCCCAATAGTAGGAAGGGCAATGCAGCGGGGCACCCCCTTCCTGTTGGGGATAAGGAATCCTCAAATTTTCTGTCTCGAGGCAACCACCTAAAAATACATTAAATTTTGGAGGTGTCTTAGAAAAAAAAAGGATTATAGGAACTTAGAGGTATTTTAGAAATAAGATTACGAGATCCTAGAGTTTTAGGAATTTTGGGAAAAATTCAGGAATACTTTAGAAATTGATATTAAACCTAGGGATATTTTAATAACTCGCCACTAGGTTTGGGGCGGATTTAAGGAATGATATCCAAACCCCATCCCATCCTGTCCCTAGTTCGGGGCAAAGATATTTTCCCATCCCTGCCCCATCCCCATTTAAGATCGGAGAAAACCCACTCCATTCGAGACCAACCTCAGTTTTATAGGGAAAATTTTCATCCCTACTCAAAAGATTAGAGCCTCTTTCTTTTCACTTGTCAGTAGGGGTGGATTCGAGCCGAGCCGAGCTAGTACCAGGCTCGAGCTCAGCTCACCAAGGTAGTACAAGGCTCGAGCTCGGTTGAGTCGAGCGAAGCCGAGCTCGAGTAGATCATGAAGAGCTTGGCTCATGGCCACCCCTACTTGTCAGCTAGAAAATTGTGTAAGTAATCCGGCACCAGCAGAGAAGGAAAACAAGGAGTTCCAATTTTTCCACTTTTCCTTTTTTTGTTTTTATTACTTCTCTGAAAGGAAGACAACAAACTACCTAAAGAGGGGAGAAACTATATAATAGCCATATCGGATGGTGCTACCCAGCATTTTCAGATCCCTACCAGGCCAGATAGTTGAACCATGAACCAGTGACCAGACAGCAGTCCAGGTCCTGGTCTTGGAAAAGTTAAATAGGCCGAAAGTTGAACTGCCCAGTTCAACTGGTGACCCAGGCAGCTTTCCAGTTAGACGTCCAATTTGGTTTTAACTTTTAACATTGGTGCTCTTGATGGTTCAGGCACCGTTGAACAGACATGGTAACAATTAGAAAGAAAGAGAATCTTAGCAAGAGTTGAACTGCATTAAATTTCATTTTAGCAAACTAGATATAAGCCAATACTATTTGAGGGCCAGAAGCTTGGTTTATACATATGTGATAAGAAAAACCATAAACTTCTTGTAGCTTATTTTTTCTCTGTAAAATCGGCAGAAAAATTGAAATTTTTACTGTAAGGTAGCAAAAATGAAAAACTAAAATATTTCAGTTGAAAAAAGTTTCACCTATTTGACAATGAAACGAGAGTATCCATTTTATGAATTCCCCGTGCAACTGTGAATTTTTCATCCCTTTGACAATAAATGTTTTGAGTGCTTCCAATTAGCTCATGCATGATGCAACTAGAATTCAGATTTGGAAAACAACACATCAAAATATAAGATTTGAAGGACAAGTTTCCATCATAATTCATAAGAGTGAATAACATTTTAAAGAAAGCAACACTTTCTTTGAAAAACAATCCTGCAAAAAACATTTAAAAAACAAACAGAAATGGAATCAACAAATAACCCATTTTAACAGGCAATAAAGAATATGAAATGGGTGAAGAATTAATCATACTTGAACGAGTATGAATGGCAAAGAAAACCCTTCTGAAGGCACATTTCCAGATTGATGCAATTGCTGATTACGTAGCATCAGGTTCTGAAGACCTACAAACTTGATATTTAAGAAAAGGCATCTCAAACATGAGAAACGCTACACTACACTACAACAGAGGAGAAAGAAAATAATAATATAACTCCTAACTCATTTAAACATATGACAAGCATGCTTTATTCAAGGAAACAACTGTAAAACAAAACAAATAACATTACTTGTTCTTCCAATTCTTGCAAGTAAGTTGCTTTGTTTCCTATCCTTTTTATCAATTTGACACGCAGTGCCTGTGAGGAAGGAAATGGATACATATTCATTATCATAATCAAGCAATCCATTTCCATATAAAAGTAACGGATCTGAAAGGAATCCAAGTTCACCAAGTTACCAACTACGGTAATTAGCCAAAATTGATAATAATCACCACCCAATGAATTTGGCTACATACCTGTAGGTCTTCCAGATCCTTTACTTTAGTAGTGGGAAGCCCCTTCCACTGGATTTCCTTTTTGTCTTTAGCGACAATGTTCAGTGCCATGAGTACGTTCAATGCATCATACACCCTTCTCCTTATATTCTTCTCATCAAACTGCTCAGTTAAGATATCAGATTTCTTGCTAAGTTGTGGGAAATATAATTAATCTTAATTGGAAATACAGTTCAGGTGCTAAAAAAATCCTGGGATAGATAAGATAAGACCTCATCCAAAGACATGGCATTGTTGTGTGTGGCAAATTCTGCTATGATCTCATCTGCAACCTGACCAAACCAAAGACATGGCATTGTTGTGGGTACCATACAGTTATTTTTTCGATACTGGTATGCTTCTGTAAATAGCAGTCCTAACTAAGACATCTTCAATATTAAAAAAAAAAACAGGTATATGCCCAAATTGCAATACTATACTGAAACCCATTCTTTAAATTCTTAATACATTCTTATCTTCTAACTAACAAAAAATATAGGGAAAATTCCTGATCAGTACCCTGTACTTTGGCTCGAGTGACAATTTGGTCTCCAAACTTTAAAATGCGACAATCCAGTACCCGAACTTTCAAAATGTGACAATCCAGTACCCGAACTTTCAAAATGTGACAATCCAGTACCCGAACTTTCAAAATGTGACAATCCAGTACCTTCCGTTAACCAGTCCATTAATGTCATTAAGTGACATTTGAAAAGTCAAAAATGCCCTTCGAATGCAATCTAATTCTCTTTATCAACCATCCAAACGTTGACAAAAAACTGAACAGTCCCAAATCCTAACCTCTTCTATTCAAAAAAGTTAATGACTGTTTAGAAGAATCTAGAATTTGGGACTGTTCATTTTATTGTCAATGTTTGGATGGTTGATAAAGAGAATTAGATGTTCTTAGGGCACTTTTGACTTTTCAAATGCCACTTAACGGCTGATTAACTGACTGGTTAGCGACAGGTACTGGATTGTCACATTTTGAAAGTTCGGGTATTGGATTGTCACATTTTGGAAGTTCGGGTACTGAATTGTCGCATTTTAAAGTTCGGGGACCAAATTGTCACTCGAGCGAAAGTACAGGGTACTGATCAGGAATTTTCCCAAAAATATATTGTGTAATCTCCCAAAACGCATTGCTCTCCTGAAACCCCATTCTTGAAAACTAGCTAAAGGTGGAGATAAATTCTATTAATTGGGATTCCAGAAATTTATCCAGGAACAGAATGAAATTTGGGAAAAGCCACTCAGAAATTACCTCACTATATGTGGTTCTTCCCTTGCACTCAACCTTCTTACAAACTGAAAATACAACCATTTGGCATAAGCATCAAACAAGAGAACTTTCTTCAGACTAGTATAATTAAACATTAATGCTTAAAGCAAATGAACTGACAATGTAAAAAGAAAAGGAAGAAACACATCTTAGAGTTATAGTCTCTAAGCTCCAGGAGACCATATTTATGGATGTTATCAGTAGTACTTCATTAGTATGCAAATCATGGGAAAAGAGTAATTTAGTGAACTCAAGAAATCCCAGTTTACCTCCCAACATCATGAATTCATGATTACGCAAATGACCAAATATATGAACAATGGCATATAATCACTTCAAAATAGAGGCTTAGAGAAGTCAGCTAACAACATAACAACATTGTAAAAGTAATATCAATATGTGTGGAAAAAAAAGTAAAATCTGACCTATTATACTGAACTGCCGAAGTCCTCCACCTACAATTCTTGACACTCTTTTCTTCTTTGTTGCGCTGTTTAATGAGGAAAACAGGGTATCATATTATGATAGTAGATAAATATTACCGATGATCAAACATATTTACAAGGCAAAAGTAGAATAAAACACTAAAAGCACACCCTTAATAAATAGAAGATATTAAATACTAGCATATGATTAATTTGCATTCATGCATCAACAACTAGAGACCTGGCATCATCTTGTTGGATATTCAAATGACTTCTCAGCATATTATCAGAAGAAATTGCAGTTACATCATATCCTCCTGCAGACAAAACATCAGCCCCTCCATTAGACTGTGTCTGGTCATAGACAACACGAAAGTCTCTCGTATACCTACTGACCATCACATCTGCAGTAACAACCATCCTGCCATAAAAAAAAGGCTAGAGTATAATATTTAGTCTTTACCCAACATATTGAAGCAACAACTCTGGAACCATAATAAAGCCCAAAGCCTCATGAACTGGAAAGAAAACCTTAAAAAAAACATGAATATTTTGCATGAGAATGTCAGCACAAAATGAAAACAAATCGTATACATTTGAGGAAAAGGAAACAAATTACCATTTCCAATTTATAGCCTACATAAATATATAAACCCTCCCCCACCTAATAAGTAATAATTTAAAGCCCGGTCTGCAAAACAGAGTACGTGTCATTCTTCAAGTGTACAAGGTACATATTGGAGAGGTTTTGATCATACTTTTCAATCCCCGTATTTAGTAGTCTAGATTGACTAAAATCCTATTTGATCTTTGTAACCATACGCACGCAAGAGAGAAAGAGAGAGATGCAAGTCCGCTTTGGCCAAAATTCAGAACGGAGCTGCTTCCCTGACATAAACATGTTCCTGCAGTTTCAATTCCCTCCTTTCAAGTTTTAGACCTACACAAAGGAGTCCCTCAGTTATTAATCGTTTTATTAGTATTGTCCTACCTAGGAAGTATCAGCCCTAATTTTTATTCGTACGTTGGTCACTTGAAATCCTCCGAATAAATTTCCTCAAGAGTCGACGTAAAACGCTAACGAATTCCCGCATCCTTCTAACAAAACTATAACACTTAACTATACGTCTAGCATTGAACACTTATTAGGCGCTGTATGTATCACTAACTTTGAATTTAGGATCTGAACCTAAAGAAGAAGATGAAGAAAACCAAAAACTGACACGAACCGATAGATCTAGGCATCGCAACAAAACTTCTTTCGGTTGGTCTAAACCATCGAAACACTGTGACAAGATAAATACCATGAGAACAGTTCTACCTGTCGATAGGTCTGTTTTATGGTGATGATGATCTATTTTTTCCGGTTTGTGGAGGATTTGCAGACAAAGAAACCAGCTCGGTCGGAATCATTCAGCAAGCCGAAAATTGGGAGAGTTTTCAAACAGACGGAACGAATGTGTATCTTCCCGCCATGTAATGTACGAATTTTGAATAGAAACGGAATAATTTGCGCTTCGCGATGCGGGAAGAAACCAGAAAACGATAAAACTTACCATAAAACTACGAAAATAACCCTGATTCTGACTAATAATAACTCCTGGATGTCCAGCAACATTAGGCTGCGTGGGTTCGACTATGATATCGAAAAGGTATTATATCCGTTAAACTTCCAAATCATAAATGTAGTAGTCAATCACGTAAGAGATAAGAATAACTTTAGGCATTAATATCAATAAAAATAATATTTTTAAAAGAATTTTAAAAATATGTTAATCTTCTTTTTCTTGCAATCCATTCATCAGCGCCGCCGTCCACCGCCGCCTTCGATAACGCCTCCGCCTCCGGCAACGTTGCTGGAGGTGGGCGTAGGCAGAGGCGGTGGCAGCGGCACTAGTGGTCATTTGTATTGATAATTGATGTAAAGACATAAATATTTATATCGACAATTATGCCTTTTTACTTTGCAACGATTCACTCATTTAAACTTATTAGTGTTGAACTCATCAATAAATATTTATATTGGAAACAATTGCATCCTTATGATTATCAATATTCATTATTCAATAACTAACAACTAAATCCATGCATATGCTTTATGATTATCAATATTCATTATTCAATAACTAACAACTAAATCCATGCATGTGCTTTGAGCGCTTGTTTAGAAATTTTTCGGGTTTGGTAGAGGTGTAATGTTTTTGCAAATTGTGCGGCATTGTAGTGGGCCTTGGCCTTGGTTGGGTTGCAATTATCACTTTTTTAAACTATTTGAAAACATGAAAAGTTTTTTTTTTTTTTGAGCTCCCAAATTTACTCCTAATGGAGGGGTGGCCATCGAAATTTTATTAATATGGAGAAAACTGTGGAAGGGGGGATGTGAAGCCTTACCCCACGCTCTATACAAAAGGGAACTTGGCTCATATAAACATTAAGCGTCCAGGCAACTTAAAATTAACGAATTCTCAAAAAAGAAAGACCTAAACCATCTGCTGTAATCAAGTGTTGTACGTGTGAAGAAAGTGTATCTGTGCAATCATAAATAGTTTTTTGAGACTCTAAGCAACCAAGCTTCGCAAGAGCATCCGCCGGTTGGTTAGCCTCTCTGTAAATATGAACACAAAAGAAATTCAATCTATTTCTAAGCTCCTGAACCTGAGACAACCAAAACCAAAGTTTCCAAGGGGCTGCACAAATACTATTGAGAATATCAATCATAAGTTTGGAGTCTAATTCCACCATTATCTTCTCTAAATTAAGTGCAACCAGCAAGTGTAAGCCATCCAGCAAAGCCATAGCCTCTGCAACTAAATTGGAGTCTGAACCATAAATGTTAGAGAAAGCACTAATTAAACCATTTCTTCCATCTCTGATGATACCCCCTCCACCACATGGGCCAGGATTTCCTCTAGAAGCACCATCAACATTCAACTTAAAGTAACCCTCCGGAACTGCTAATAAATGCACCACCTTGATGTACTTATTCTTAATTGGGTGAATTCGCAACCCCAAACCCTGTAAAGAGAGTTGTTGAGTAAAACTCACTTTATGGGTGAGATTTAGAGGAGAGGATGCCTCATGAATCCATCGCACAATTACCCAAATCACCATATTAGAGCATCTGAATTTATTTTCCATTCTATGCCTGTTTCTTTCCTTCTAGATTTCCCAAACTGTAAAACAAGCAATCAGCCCTATTGTAACAGCCCATTGGTTTTTTCCTGAGACTACTGAAAACCAAACAGTGAAAATCTCCTTAGTACTCTCATTACCCCTGAAGGGAAGCCCAAACAATCTGCTAAAGAAAAGCCAAACTTTTCGAGCTAGACAGCCATGCACCAACAAATGATTAACATTCTCCTCTAAGTGATCACGACAGTAGGCACATCTGGATATAAAAGGGATCCCTAACTCCTTTATATCAAAGTCCACCTCTACCTTCCCCACCATAAGTTTCAAGACAAAGAAGCTTATCTTGGTGGGCACTAGATCATTCCAAACTACTTGTACCATTCCACCGTAGGATGAGCATCCTTATAGAAGGATCAAGTTGTTTTAACAGAGAACTCCGCTTTCTTTTCAGGAAACCAAACTATCTTGTCTTGGCTGTTAGAGAGCTTCACACCTGACCTCTGAATATGTCGGAGAGCCTTATCCTCAAGAAACCCCATAACCTGATCTAGACTCCAAATTCCCGCCCCATCAACAACATCACAAACTCTCAACTACAAATTAAGACTATCTAGCTGAATGGCTTTCTCAATTAAAGGACCATCCGTGGTTCAATTATCCAACCAGAAGCTGATTTCTCCTCTTTCCACTAACAACATCAAGAGAAGGACTAAATCACCTCTTAGTTCCATGTTCACATTTCAGGCCTTCAACACCTTGGTTCTGAAAAATTCAGCCCACAAAGAATTTTGAAACAACACTCGCCACAAAGCTTTCAACCTGAGTGCTTTTTGGACATCAGATAAGCTTTTAATGTGCAACCGACCTTCAGAAAAAAGGTCTCACAATTTTCCTCCAAACTATCCAATGGTGATATCTATTTGTCTCCGAATTAAACCAAAGGAATCCTTTCATCAACTGATCCAGGCGCTTGATAACCTTCTTGGGAGTTAATGCTGCTGACATCAAGTATATCGGGAATACTGCTCAACACATGTCTAATTAGGACCAACTTACCTCCAGCTGAAACCATTTTCCCTTTCCAGCCCGAAATTTTTGCTGCCACTTTCTGCATAATCCCATCAAATGCTTATGCTTTCACGCGGCCCTTACCAATTGGGATCCCAAGGTAGGTGAAGGGAAGAGGCTTATGCACGTAGCTTGTAACTGAAGTTATGATTTGAATTCTGCTGCGAGAGGCTTTTGTTGAAGTGAAAAAATAACTCTTCGCCTTGTTCACCAATTGACCCGAACATTGCTCGTACCTGTTTGGACCCTCTTGTGAAGATAATGGTGTCATCAGCACAGAGGCTGTGAGTGATAGGAGGGCAGCCCCTGTGAGTCACATAAGCATCAGTAGGATACTGTTCGCCTAGTTTGGACAAGTTTCTATTGAGTACCTCCTCTGCAATGATAAACAAATACGGCAAAAGGGGATCCCCTTGCCGAAAGCCTCTGGTGGACTAAAAAAACCCTATGACTTCTCCATGCCAAAGAACAGAAAACCAACAATTCACAACCATTTTTCTAATCAGATCAATCCAAGTTTCATTAAAATTGAACCGTCTCAGGACTTTGAAGAGGAAGTCCCAATTCAGCCGGTTGTAAGCTTTAGCCATATCCAGTTTCAACACTACATTTCCCCCCACAACCTTTATGTTAATATCTGTTACCATTTCCTGTACCAAAGCTACATTATCCATGATGTTTCACCCCTGAATAAAAACACCCTACTCTAGTGAAATTAACTTAGGTAAAATACCAGTCAGTCTTTTAGTAAATATTTTTGCAATACTTTTGTAGCAGAAATTACCTAAGTCGATAGGACGAAAATCTGTAAAACTCTCAGGGACCTTGCATTTTGGTATCAAAGAAAGAAAGGAGGAAGTGTAACTCACCGGAAGCTGACCACCATTAAAAAGAATTGGACAACCCCTACCACATCCGCTCCAACAATGTCCCAGCACGAGAACAAAAAAATGTCCTATAAAACCATCCGGCCCTAGTGCACTGTCTTTGTCCATGGCATGAACCACCTCTTGAATTTTTGTCTTAGAAGGTACGACCAAATGATGATTGGCATTGTCTTCCTGATTAACGACACACATAATGATATCCAACAATTCCTCATCACCAACAGTTCCTTCCTCTGAAAGAACACTACAAAAATAGTTTACAACACCTTGTTTCAACTCCTCTAAGTCAAAAATCCAATCACCTATGGAATTTGTAATCTTGCTGATTTTGCTCCGCATTCGGCTAAGCTTAACAGACAGATAAAAAATTTTAAGTTTCTATCCCCCTCCTTTCAACCATTTAATTCTAGATTTCTGCCTCCAGAAAATTTCCTCCTGTTTGTGAATTTCATGAAGTTTCTTCCTCTCCTCCCTTAACTCCGTGAAGCTAGCAACACAATTCATCTGTAAGTGATTCAATTTAGGCTATTGAACCCTGTCTTCTGCCTCCTTGATAGTCTGATGAACATTCCCAAAGACCTCTCAGTTCCATTGCTTGAGTTTACTCCTTAATTTATGTAGTTTTAGAAATAAACTCACCAATGGATTGGCGTGAACCTCCTTAGTTCAACAATCCCTGACCACCGTGTGAAAAGAATGATGAGAGAACCACATCTGCTGAAACCTAAAAGGTTTAGGACCTGTCTGTCTTTCCTCCTCCACAGAAAAAACTAGAGGGCAGTGGTCTAAACAGTAGGGATGTTCACAAATAAATCCAAACTGACCAACCTGGCCCAACCCAACTTGAGTTAGTCGGTTTTTCTTCACTATCGGTCGGTTTCGGGTTGCAAAGATGAACAAACCGATAATTTGATTCGGTTTCGGTTTCGGTATGTGAAAACCGAAACTGAACCGAACCGAATTATGTGAAAAAATATATATTCTGAAAAAATATCTGTTAAATATAGATGTTTTAGTTTTAAATAATAAATATATATCTGAAAAAATATATATTCTGAAATATATCAGATATATATTTCCAAAATATATATTTCCAGAAATTAGAAAATATATATTTCGATATATTTGTATATATGTTTTGGTTTTAAATATACATTTCCAGAAAATATATTATGAGATATTGTATATAATATTAGCACTTTGACTTCATGTGCATTGTGCAACCTTGGAGTTGGTTGAAACCCAAACCGACTCAAACCAACCAAGTCGATTTTACTTAATAGAGGGTCGGTTTTAGTTTGGTCTATAGGTACCCCAACCAGGTTGGGTCGGTTGAAAAAACACTACTAAACCGACCCAACCCCCCCGTGAACAGACCTACTGAACAGGTGCGATTAAGATGAGCCACAGGCTTCAAAGGGAAGGAATGCGCCCAGCTTGAATTAACCAGAAATCGATCTAGACAAGTCCAAACACAGTCCAAGCCCTCTCTGTTATTGCACCAAATAAATCTGCTTCCAGAGAAACCCAAATCAAAAAACACAACAATAGTAAGATAGACAGTAAATTGAAAAAAAAAACAAATCTTAAAATTTTATTCTTGTGACTTTTGATGTATACAATTGTTTATATATGAAATAGTAAAATGAAATTGAAAAACATCACAATAAATTTGAATAAAATAAAATAATAAAATTGGAAAAAAAAGATATATATATACGTATGTATGTATATATGTGTAATGTATATTTAGGGGATCTTTAGGATCGATGATGATTCTTCTTATGAGATTTTTCATAAGTCAATGATTTATCATAAAGAAAAGAAATTGTTTGTTTAGCACCATAGTTGCCATGTTAGTCATTTCTCATAAATCAATTGTGAATTTGCCTGATAGCGATTATCAGCAGTGATTTATTTATGGGAACCATCCCATCTATCAATGTTAGATGCCACATTATCCAAAATAAATAGAGTCAATCTGAAAAAAAAAAAGAGAAATCATCATTCATGGCCTTCTTCTTTTTAGTCCATTTTCAATAATCATTTTCTAACCAATTTGTTGATTTATCATAAAACCAACCAACCAAACAACAAAGTAAGTGTTTGGCACTAGAATGTTTCACAAGTGTTTCATTTTTTGCTGATGTATCATTCATGCCACATCAACAAATGAATGGAATAGGCAAGAAAATTGCATTTTGGTAGACTGTTAAAAAACAATTTTTATGACCATTAGCTTCGGGATTCGGGAAAGAAGGGGTTCCTTGAATCCTTAAATTGATGAGTTATTTAATCGCCTTGGTGATCTTGAATTATTAGGGCGACGTGACACATTGAAATTTGAAAGGGCAGCTCAATGCAGAATTCTGAGTTAGAACCCCCCTCCCCAGTGATCCGCCATTCTCCCAATTTGAAACAGCCAACTTATTTTCTAAGATGGCATACAATTGTCATTATAAAATATATTATAATAATAAGCCAAATCACTTTAAACGCCCAATCATATTTTTTCTGTTTTTCAAAAAAAAAAAAAAGAAACAACTGAAACAAACAGAACACTAGTGAATCGGGGCCCATTTGTGAAATGAAATGCTTGTGAAACGCTCTAGTGCCAAATACATACAAAATAATCAATGATTTTGGAATCGCTTACGTGGCTTTCCATGCCAGTCCACATGCAGTACCACCTACTTTAAAGCTCTAGGTGTGAGTAAGGTGGTTAGGCTACGTACAAGGGTCTCCTTGAAGGACAAAAGAAGACCAGATGCAAGAAGTAAGCTAAAGGCTTAGGGAAAATGAGATGAGAGAATGATGCTTTCGTTATGAGATGGACCCCTATTAATAGGGAGAGATCCCGAGGTCTCAAAAAGAATGAGCCAAAAGCGTTTGATTACCATTAGGAAAGGGAATCTCGGATTCGCTGTCAATTGTTAGGGAGCACTGCTAGGGTTTCGTCACGTGTCTTACGAAATATCTCAAAAACGAACTTTCCTTTCGTATGAAGATTCTCATAATCCACATGTGCTACTTCCTTTTGTAACTATTTTAAACCGATGTGGCATGGGTGACGCCATTATTTACTTTGCTTGCCCTTATTAGGTCCACGGGGCATCCCGTCACGCGCGTAATTTAACGACACATGTGTATCTATTATTTGTTCCCGTCTTGTAGTAATTCCGCACCTGTTTGAAATTCATCGCGAGTCTGCACATGTCCAAAGCTCATCGCAAGTCAGTGCGTGTCTAAAGCCCATCGCAAGTCCGCATGTGTCTAAAACTCATCGCAGATCCGCACAGGCCAAAGTTCATCGCAACCTATTTCACGTATGAATTTGTCGCAGATGTACAATGAATTATGAACTCATCACAGACGCATGATGGGTTATAGATTAATCGTAGGCATCCATGTAATATTAGTTTGATGCCCTTTGTATGGCCTGAATGACCACTATATACATACATTAGGTTAAGGTCAGTAAATTTGGGTTTTGACACCAGTTTGAGTCAACCAAGGTCCATGTTTAAGTTTGGTCATGGATTGGTCCTTAACCCAAACCAATACATATATTTTACACCCATTCTTTAGAGTTTACATCAGCGCCCTACAGCACATCTCAATCGTTTATTGGGAACATCTCCCAATGACAAATACTAAACATGTTCTCAGTGCACGCTGAGATATGCATGTGTGGCGCACCCCAGATGTGAAAGCATCCTTATGTCATGGCAATGGGAAGAGGTTACCCTTCCTGTTCACTGTTACTATAGAGGCAGAGGCTATGGCTTTCAATGAGACGATAGCCATGTGCTTGGAGCTGAGAGTGCCGCAATTAATCATTGAGGAAGGGAGACTCATAAACCAGGGTCTTAATTTTCACAAACAAGAAATCTGATGTACCTTGGAGAACAAGTACTATTGAAGCAGAGTGCAGAATTAAGGCCAGAGGAAGAACATAATTTGACTTCACAAACAGGACAAAACAACTCAGCAGCCCATCATCTTGCCAAGTTGGTAGCATCGGGTGTAAATATTTCCCGGTCTGTTAATATTTCCATACAATCAAAACCATTTTGAAAAAATATATATTTTTTAATTTTTGAATTTTCCCAGTTTCTGCCTTTTTGGAGAAAATCTATTGATTCACTAGTACATGCAAAAACATTACAGATCCAACAACAAATAAATATATTATTGCATTTCAAACACAGAAATATGTAGTTTTACTATCAATATAAAAAATAATGCATTATTCCTCTTATTCTTAATTCCATGAGCTTTTTTCCTTTTTTCTTAATGCAAGATCTCAAGTGTTTTTGTAGTGCAAACTTTCCTAAAAGTGTTTATAATGAAAATAGAAGACTTAAAAGTAGGGACGAGCAAATGAGTAGGTCTAGAGGTTTACCTTACTCCAACTTATTCGGAGAATCAATCTTGATTGACCTTGGTGGAACTGACCTTAATTGACTTTAATAGAACTGGCTTTGAAACCAAACTTGCATTAAATAAATTCCAAAATACATTAAGGACATGGAGATTTGATACCAAGAACCCATGCTTAAAAAGACAGTGGTCTCACTTAGCATCAAGTCACTAAAATAATTTTATAATTTTTCTTCAATTTAATGTATGAATGTGTATAATAAAGTGTAAAAGGTAATATTTATAAAATTTAAATTAATGATAAGTTTCTAACTAACTTCTTCTTCTTGGTAAAAAAAAAAAAAACAAGTTCCATGAGTAAACATTGGAACCAACCTTTAAAATGATCTTAACAAGATAGATTCCAGGATCTGCCTCGTCCTTAAAAGTGAGAAAATGTGCTGAAAAAAAAAGTGAAACCAGCAAATATTAAGTTATTCCACTGGCACATGATCCATATCAGCCTGTTTCGGTCCATATCAAGGGATACAAGTTGGATATGACACAATATGGGCAAATACCAATCGGCACATGTGGAATAAATACGCGTCAACCCCATTACAATGTACATGATTCCATCCGTGACATGCCACAGTCATTGTGGAAATGGATACAATATTTTAAACCATGGCAATCAGATGCTCCAAAGAAATAAATAAACAAATGCAACTGTTCCATTGAATATGAAGGAATGAAATACAGAAGCTGGTATTCCTTTGACAGTTGAGTATCAAAAAAAGGAGGGTGATGAATACATGCCCTACCTTTTTAGACGTAACATTGAGAGGCAAAGTGTAGTTCACAATGTAGCATATACAACTATTTACATTGTTTAGGTCTGAAATTTTCAGAATCAAGCAGTTGCACCAACAGCTTCTCCAGCCTCTTTGAACTTATACTTGGTCTAATAGCCAGTGGATTGACAAAGACTGTGCACGGATCTTTGCCCATAAGGGAAGTCCCCATGCACCAACCTCCCGGTGTAAATCGGCCTTCCAGTCTTCCCAAAAGCTCATGATCTATCCTGTCCAAAACAGGATCATCCTTGTTAAACTTGCGTGCAAAAGGAGCCCCACTCTGGACCATCGCATTGAAATGTTCCAAAGTCAGGGTGATGGGATGCTGCTTTGGAGGATTATCCCACTTTATGTAATGCAGGTCATGATTGACGGTTGTATTCTGGTAGTCTTTTGAATTGCAGATTACGGTGTGAAAGTACCCCTCGGGGGATGACAAGAAGTTGGTATAGTACATGAGTAGAGTACGAGGGAGATTATCCCAGCCCCACACACAGAACTCCAGGAACGATCTTGTCAGCACCATCCACTCGGACCCTACAGAAACAAATAATTATTAATCTTGGAGTTTCAAATCACTCGTAGGCCAATGATAATTGCATTATAAACATTACATGACATTGATTTACATAAAGAATCCATTTGTTTGGTTGGGAGTATGAATGACTTCCTGGACTTTGTTATTCGCATGCACATTAAATGGCTGTTGAAAAATAAACATTCTCAAAAAAGTGAGGTTGGTCCTCTCAATTCACATCTGATATTATGAAGCACTCATTTATTTTTTAACTGTTCAGATCTGTAAATTAGGAATATGGTTCATTTTCCAGTTTAACAACATTTTCCTTAAGTTTACATGGAACTGAGCAGAGCCATAGCAAAAAGAGTGAAAAGGTTTGAGAAGGTTCAGTTTCATACTTTGCAATTCATCTGGTTTATCTCCAAATAGAAGAAAATAAGAAGGATCAGTGACCTAGTTGCAGCTGGTTCACTCAAAAGCCTACCAACCACAACTTGAGGGGTAAAGCCTGGAACTGGTACTGTCCATGATTGGATGAGCACCAGCATTGTCAATGGTTATCTAAACAGGCAATGTGCTACCAAAACAGGGTTGTCAGCAAGATATTACTATCACATTTCCTAGATATCAAGAGAAACCAAATAAACATTTACTAGAGACTTGTCCATACTCGGAATCACATAACATGGAGGCCTGCAAGAATCCCTTGCCAAGGGCATCAAATTATGTTATTTTTGGGCTCATCTCAGTACCATTTAGATTCATGAAATTGTTCAGGCTTGGAAGTAGGTTAGACACTGTTAGTAGTCAACTGCCTGTGAAGCAATAGTCAACTACCCTTGAGGCAGTAGAGTTAACAGTTGACCACTTTGTGCAGAGAACTCTCTCACATGATTTCTTTTTAGGCTATTTGAGCTACAATGACTCTTTCGTCTTTGGAAAAGGTCTGAAACTTCATTGAAATCATCTCTAAAACTTATCAATAAAAGTTTGATTAATCTCCAACGAATTAAAAACAGTCATATTGCTCTAAATATAAAATCTGTGAGAACTAGAAAAGAACTAGGGAAATGAAATGAGACTTAAAGGGTTCAGCAAAAAAAAAAAAAAAAAAAGAGGGAAATGTGGGCAACGGCAATCAAAAGAATAGATTCTATTGAGTTTCCCATGAGTTGAAAAGAGAAAAACCCTTGATCTTAAGTGTGAGAAAAGTCGAGATCTCAATGAATCCTAAAAATCCCAGTTGAACCCAAGCATTCATTGTGTACTCTTGCACATTGAGATAGTTTTCTTCGTATTGTTATATCAACCTATTGAGAAGCATTGCATTTACCTGTGCTTACATTGTTCATATCATATTTGGGCTTGTGTAGCTAGTGATTTGCTACCTAAGTGTTTTGAGATAGAACACAGTGAAAGGTTTGCATAGGACCTGTAAGACTATCCAATGAAAGGTTTGGATAAAATCTGGTGAAAGGTCTTGTTGGCACCTAGGAAGTCCAACTAGTGTAAAGGTCTTGTTGGCACCTGTGAAGTCCAACTGCTATAGTGGAAAATCTTAGGTGGTGTGACGGGAGAGGGCGAAGGCCGAGTTTGGCTGAACCTCTATAAAAATCCTGTTTGTGCATTTCAATATTCTTGCTTTGCCTTGATTTCTGTTGTTGATATTTTCATTGTATTGCACACTGCATTTTTACTCTCTATTTTCATCATACTGCACTAGTTCTGAAAAGGCATTGGTTGGGGAGGAAACTCATAAAACCCAATTCAACCCCTTCTTGGGTTAAGCTACCTGAGCAATAGTTGTCTCTACCCAAAGTTTAGAGAACCCTGTAATAAAAAAAAGTGACTGTTACATATCAAGTTGTTGACTATTAACCAAACAATAATTGTCATTCATGTCAACGACTTAATATTGTTTCACTCCTTTTATATCACAAACCTAATAAAAGAACCATACAAACAACTTAGTTTTATTACGTGACAATTACAAATTTTAATTAAAAATATTGGTATTGTATGGGGAATTATATATAGTATGCAAATAATGTGTTTAGAGACAATCATTTTGAGCAATTTGGGAGGAAAGCAATGCAAGAATTTTCCTCAACAAAGAGCCAAAACTAAATATTTAGATTCATCTCATTACAGTTAATATCACCAATTGAACTCGTACAAGGAAGAAGTCTAGAGATTTCATAATTGATTTGTTGATGATGTCATGATGTCATCAGGGTGGTTTATTAACTGAAATCCATGGAATTGTTCTCGAAATACTTGGTAGATGACATTATGAGGAAGTGGCTCTTACTTCAGCTTTGAAATCCAAAATTAGTACTTCTTGGACTCCACCAGATGTTGGGTGCATTAAACTCAACTTTGATGGCAGTAGCAAAGGGAACCTAGGACCTTCAGGTGTAGGAGATGTGCTCCAATCCAAAATGAAATAGGGCATGTACTAGCTTTGTTTTTAAGTCCAATGGGTATTGGGGGTTACCTGAAGCCTGAAGTGTTGGCAGTTTTGGAAGGTGTATAACTAGAGCAAAGGAGCTGAATGTGCATAAATTGATAACTGAAGGAGATTCAAAACTGGCGGTCAAGTGGCTATTAAACAAAGGGAATGATTTGTAAATATACAACAATGAGTTCAAAAGGTTTGAATGGATAACCAGGGGAATAGATATAAAATTCAATTGGTGCAAAGGATGGCCAACAGCATGGCTGATTGTATGGAAAAACAAGATGTCAAGGGGACTCAAATGTATAGGCTCAGTTGTAAAATCTTGATTATTGGAGATAAATGGTTTTATCTCTTATCATTTCTGCATTCCTTGTAATCTTCATTTATAATATTAATGGAAAATTTCAGTTATCAGGGTACAAAAAGCTAAAGAACTGGGAATTACAAGGTTGGTTATTGGAGGGGATTCGAAGACAATAATTGGGTGGATGAAGAAAGGAGAGGGGGTGGTTTGGCAATATAGAAATGAATTCAAGCGATTCAAATGGCTGTCATGAAATATGAATATTCATTGACCATTCATTCCTTTGGGAAGAAAGGAATGCTAGAATCTTTCAAGAAAAGGAAAGGAGCAGTCAGGAATTGAAAGACTGTGTGTTGCATAGGGCAATACTTTGGCTGAAGACYTTGGAAATCTTTCATCATTTCTCCTTTAATGACCTTTGGAGAAACTGGTCAGCAGTAGCAAGGTGTTCACCCTTAAAGGATAAGTCAATTACAAGCTGGTCTCCTCCATCTGAAGGCTCACTGAAGCTGAACTTTGATGGAAGTAGCATGGGTAACACAGGATTATCTGGAATGGGGGGTGTTGTCTTGAGAAATGAGAAGGGAGAGATTCTGTTGTTCTACTCAGGTCCTTTAGGAGTTGGGGACTCCATCAGGGTAGGGCTATTAGCTGCTGTACAAGGGGTGTAATTTGCAAACCAGCTGGGGGTACAGCATCTAGTAATTGAAGGAGATTCCAAAGTGGTGGTGGGCTGGTTGAAAAATCCTGAAGATGCTATATGGCACTACAAGAATGAAATGAAGAAATTCAGTTGGTTGACAAGGAATATGTTGGTCTCTTTACAGTGGGTGGGGAGATCAGCAAATACTTTGTCCAATGTGTTAGTTAAGCAAGGGGTAAATCGGGAAGAATTGTTTTGGGCTCAGCTGTGATTCTTGTATTTGTTTCCTAGTTTACTTGTAAGATTCAAGGAGGGGCTGCAGCTCGTGCCTCTCCCTGGGATGTTGTATGAATTCACAACTCTAAATCAGCTTTTGAACTAATAAAATTTACTATTATTCACAAAAAAAGAAGGTCAGCTTATTGATAAAAAAAGGTTCATAAACAGCAAATGTATCAGGCCCAGTTGTAATAGAGTGGGGGTTAGCTATTGTAAAGGGTTTTCACCTACACAACTTCTTGTTGTACCCTTTTTTCTTCTTTAATTTATTAATAAAAATCATTTCTGTGATGCTGATAAAAATCAGTTATTGATAAAAAAATTTAAAAAAAATGTGATGGTTGCTCCTTCAGGAATTCAAATCATTCACAGGTATCAAGATTCAAGAGCTCTTTCAGAGATCCATACAAAGAGTGCTTCTTTTTCCCTTGAGCCCCACTGGCATGGGACTGTGATTAGAGTGGGCATTATAATATAGAGGGAGATTCTTAGGTTGGGATTGGCTAGACAAAGGATGACAGAAAGGGTCCATAATTCCTTTGGCATCATACTTTAGAAGCTAAATCAATGACTATTAATGTGAAAATCCCATTAAGCTGGATCAACAGATCCAGGGGTGCTCATTTTTGTGGGCAGTGGGCTGCATCTCACCTAAACCTAGGTGTGCCTTGACTAGTTTTTTTGCATGTTTTGATGAATTAACCTTTGATTTAGATGTTTGAATAAATAGCATACTAGATTGTAGCTTGCAGATGTAGGTCTTGAACCTATGAGTCTGGTGGGTTACTGCCCTCCTCAGGAACTGCTACGTTGGCAGCTCTGCCTCCTGCGGAAGAGAAGAAGAGATAATTCTCAGGAAAAATGATGCACACTTTCCTTCTGTAATACCAGTATTTATAATCATTAGCGCACGTCGAACATAGGCTGTTATAACAGACTACTGATGTGGCCTTCTTACATAAACAAATCCGATAGGTGATCCAGGCTTGCTGTTATGGGGAGCTTTCTCAGCTGCTGCTCGAGCTGGGCTGGTTCTAGCCGTTGGAGTCTCAATGGGCTGATGTCGTGCTTCACAAGTCTAAACAATTCCTCCCCCCTGGAGATCAACCTTGTCCTCAAGGTTGGAGTGAGGAAACTGCTGCTTGAGGCTTTCAAAATTTTCCCAGGTGGCATCTTCTACAGGGAGTTGGTCCCAAACTACCAGAGCTTCTTGGACCATCTTTTTGCCATTCTTAACCCAACAGAATTCTAAGATCTTGAGAGGCTGAACTATCAGTTCTCCTTCATTAGTGAAGGCGGGTAGTGAAGACTGAGAGACTGCTCCATTTCCCAGATGTTTCTTCAACAAGGAGACATGGAATACGGGATGAAACCTAGCAGCAGCTGGGAGGTCAAGGCGATCAGCAACTTCTCCAATCCTTTCTAAGATGTGAAAGGGCCCAAAGAGTCGAGGTGACAACTTCTGCCAAGTTCTGCAGCCTACTGATGTCTGTCTGTAGGGCTGTAGCTTGAGGTACACTAGGTCCCCCACCTGATGAGAGATGTCATGATGTTTTTTGTCATATTGGGTCTTCCTAGTCTGTCTTGCTCTTTCCAAGTGGTGCTTGAGGGATTGAATGATAGCATCCCTATCTAGTAATTGGTCCTCTACTTCGGCTACCTGAGTGGACCCCTTGTCATAGGGTAGTAAGGCTGGTGGCTCCCTTCCATATAGGGCCTTGAAAGGAGTCATTTCGGTGGAGCTATAGTAAGTGGTGTTGTACAATACTCAGCCCACGGCAGCCACTTGACCCACTGCTTTGGCTTTTCTCCTGTGAAACACCTCAAATAAGTCTCCAAACACCGATTTACCACTTCTGACTGTCCATCGGTTTGGGGATGGTAGCTGGTGTTGTGGTGTAGGAGAGATCCCTGAACCCTAAAATATTCAGACCAGAATCTGCTCATAAAGGCAGGATCCCTGTCAGTAGTAATAGACCTCGGTGTGCAATGGAGCTTGGCTACATCTTGGACAAACACCTTGGCAATCTGGGCTGCTATATAGGGATGTGCCAATGCTGAAAAGTGGCTATATTTGGAAAGCTGGTCTACCACTACTAGAATTACTGTCTTTCCAATGGGGGTAGGCCAGTTATGAAACCCATAATTATGTCATCCCATACCTAATTTGGTATAGGCAATGGCTGGAGAAGGCCGGCCGGAGCTTGAGTTTCATACTTGTAACGCTGGCAAGTGGGGCATTTGGTGACATACTCCTGAACTGTCTTCCTCATTCCAGTCCAGATGTACTGTGAAGCAATTCTTCTATAAGTTCTTAGGATACCTGAATGTCCACCTGCGGCTGACTCATGGAAAAGTCGTATGAGGTCCTGTAACAGAGGAGATTGGATAGGTAGCACCATTTTGCTCTTATAGAAGAGCTGTGAATTGATGACTGTATAACTGGGAACCTTAAGAGGATCCGAAGCCCACTGGGCCCGAACCTGCTTAGGTGAGGGTCTTGTTGGGCTACAGCCTTCAATTGTTCCAAGAGAGGGTAAATGGGCCTGGAAATGCCTATGGAGTTCAACTCATGGGCCCTAGACAGGGCATTGGCAGCCTTATAGGATGGCCCAGGTTTGTATTCCAGCCTGTAATTGAAGCCTACCAACTTATATAACCACTTCTGTTGTTTCGGCGTGTGAATCTGCTGCTCCAAGAGGTATTTTAAGCTGCGTTAATCCGTCCTTATCACAAACTGCCGCCCTAGTAAGTAGGTTCTCCATTTTTGAACAGAAAGAACCACAGCCGTAATGCCTTACTGAAAAAGGCTATGGGCTTACCTTGTTGCATTAGCACAGCCCCAATTCCAGAACCACTTCTTAAGTGCCTCGAAGGCAGCGTTAGCTTGATCATCCCAAGTGTATGCATTCTTTTTTAACAGCCGTGTAAGCGGGCTAGCCAGGAACCTGTAATTGCAAATGAAGCGCCAATAGTAACCTGTCAGTCCAAGGAATCCCCTAAGGCTGCGGACTGATGAGGGCCTGGGCCAATTTACCATGCTGGTCACCTTATCTAGGTCTACTGTGACTGCTCCTTGAGACACAATATGACCAAGGTACTGCACCTAATTCTGGCTGAATATGCATTTTGAGGACTTGGCAAATAACTGATGCTTCCTTAGAAGGCCCAAAGTGATGTCTAAGTACTCAAGGTGGCTGGTCCAATCAGAGCTATATATCAAGATATCATCAAAGAAAACCAATGCAAACCAGTGCAAAAATGGGTGGAATTCACAACTGACTCAAATGTGGATGGGGGGGCATTGGTCAGCTCGAAGGGCATGGCCAAAAAACTCACAATGCTCGTTGTGGGTCCGGAAGGCTGTTTTATGAATGTCAGCTGGGTGGACCCGAATCTGATGGTAGCCCGACCTTAGGTCCAATTTTGAGAATACAGTAGCCATCTTGAGCTCATCAAGTAACTCATCTATAATAGGAATCGGAAACCGGTCCTTGACGGTGATCTGGTTCAGAGCACGATAATCCACACAAAACCTCCATGTCCCATCTTTCTTCTTGACAAAGAGAGCTGGGGACGAGTATGAACTCGAACTGGGTTGAATCAGGCCTTGTTGTAGAAGTTCATTCACTATTTTCTCTATCTCCATCTTCTGGTAGTTTGGATATCTGTAGGGGCGCACATTCACAGGCCCTTCTCCAGGTTGAATGGGAACTCGGTGATCCTGGGCTCTAAGGGGTGGAAGGCCCACCAAATTGGAAAACACATCTTCATAGGCCTTCAGAAGTTGCTTCAGGGCCTGTTCTTGGTCTGGTGAGGGTTGTAAGGCCGCTTTAGCTGTTAGCACCGACCCACTGAGGTTAGGGCCCAACATCATTGCAATAGGGGGTTCCAAGAGCTGGCACTGTTTGGCCATAGTGTTATAATCAGCCGCCCTGGTTTGGTTAGGTTCCAAACCCTTAAGGGTACGCTGTTTCCCGTTAACAGTAAATTCCATAGTAAAGTTCTCCCAATCACATACCACCCGCCCCAGTTGGTGTAACCATTGGACACCAAGGACCACATCGGCCCCTCTAAAGTTTAGTGGATGTAATTCAACGCTGAACCGGTGCCCTTGAACCATGAGATCTATGGCTCAACACACCTCATCACATCTGAGCCGGTTCCCATCAGCTACATGGACTGAAAAGAATTCAACCGGTTCAACTGGTAAGCCCAACTAGCGAGCCAACAATCCGGTAATGAAGTTAAGGGTGCTACTGCTATCAATTAGGATGAAAACTTGACATCCCTTGACTGTCCCCTTAATTCTCATGGGGGAGTCCAGGCCAATCATGGTTTGTAAAGAAATCTCCGGTTCATCTATATCAACCTCAGCTTCTTCCTCTGGGGTAGAGGACTCATCTGCCTCAACTCTCAAGAGCTTCATTTGATCAGAGGAGGAAGAGTTGTTGGCTCTTGCAGCGGTGGCCGGGAGCAAACTTTTCATCACAATTATAACATAGACCACGCTCCCTTCGTGACTGCATCTCCGACCAAGTCAACTTTCTCAGGGGAACGGTTGGACCAGAGGTTTTTGGGTTCCCCAGATCCAGGCGGTTGGGTGGAGTCTTTAAAAGTGGGCCAGGATTTTTGTTTATCTTCTTGAGCTGATTTAAGCGCTCTTCATGAAGTCTAGCCAGCCCTGCGGCGACATCGACAATAGCAAGGTGAAGGGCCTTCACCTCTATCTTAATGTCCTCACGCAGGCCCCCTACAAAACTTCCGACTAGAGCATTTTCAGGCCATCCATAAACCCTGGCTGCCAAGCACTCGAACTCTTGCTGATAATCACGCATAGAGCTGAGCTGCCTGAGTTTAGAGAGAGTTTCATCAAAGTTTTCATAGCCAAAGGGTCCATACCTCCGGCATAAAGCCTCAGTGAAATATGGCCAAGTTAATTGGGGGTGAGACTGACGGTACCATTGGTACCACAATATGGCTTCTCCTTCCTTATGGATGGGAGGCCACTGCTACCCGTTGATGCCCGGGTATCTCATTGTATTCAAAATTCTGTTTGGCTCTAAATATCTAGGAGATAGGATCGTCACCTGAGAAAAGGGGAAAATCGATCTTCACTGGTCACCCCAATAGCCCTCTATTCCTTCTCAAGCTCGCTTGACTAGAACTCTCGCCTTCATTGTCACGGCCTCCAGTTGCAAAGAGTTGAGAGGATATCGCTGTGATGGCTTCCTTCAGCTCCTTCATACCCCGACTATTTGCTGTATATTGGTTTCCAGTTTATCCACTCGCTCCTCCATGGCGGTTGAGCGGGTGGTCGGCATCTTCTGGCTCTGATACCAATTGGTGGGTTACTGCCCACCTCAGGAACTGCTTCGAGGGCAGCTCTGCCTCCTACGGAAGAGAAGAAGAGATAATTCTCAGGAAAAATGATGCACACTTTCCTTCTGTAATACCAGTATTTATAATCATTAGCGCACGTCGCACATGGGCTGTTATAACAGACTACTGACGTGGCCTTCTTACATAAACAAATCTGACAGGTGGTCCAGGCTTGCCATTAGGGGGGGCTTTCTCAGCTGCTGCTCGAGCTGGGCTGGTTCTAGCCGTTAGAGTCTCGGTGGGCTGATGTTGCCCTTCATGAGTCTTAACAGAGTCAACGACCTTTCTGTTAATAATATAACACTCTAACCAATTAAGCTAACAAGATTGTACTTATTTCATAATTTAGAAATGCATCTTGTTATATTTCTTTTTGCTTTTTTTTTCATAAGGGTGCCTCACTTCTTTTAGGAAAACATTCCTTTCCTTGCACCTCTTCCCTCATGCTTTAGGACCCCTTGCACTTTAGTTACCATACTGCTTTAAAAAACCAGTTTGGATAGAGCTGGAGTAAACAATACAGAATTATATTTGGAAGCCATTATCTCCTTATAAAGTCATGGTTCTCCTATGTGGTATTGTATTTTGCTGATTCTTAGTTTTGTTTGGGTAGCCTTAATAGACAGGCATGGGTTCTGGTCCTTCTTATGAAGAACTCTGTATCCCCTCTCTCTCCTATAACACTTTTAATAAAGTTTTCATTATTGAACAAAAAAGAAACTACATTATATAAAGATATTAGCTTTCGACCATTTTTGGAAATGAAAATCATATATTTGTGCTTTGAACATGTGTTTTTTTAACCCAATATTGACTGGTAAGCATGTTTCATATTTTAAGTTAGGTTGTTAATCAGCTGCATTCTTACCTACCAAACTTCAGGCTACACAAGAATTAAAACCAAAGAAATAGATGTAGATCTAATATTGTCATCAAGGCGTTACCCATGAATAGCTTGAAGGAAGCAGGCATAGACCTTTTCTCTTTTGCCCAAAAAACACCAGATTTTTTTGAATGATATAATCCTGGATCTATAATGATAGGCCTTGCTCTTTGGTGCCTGCATTCATGCAATAAAAATGATGATGAGATAATATATGTCTCTATAAACGATGAAAATAGTAAGCACTGAAAGTAACTCCAATGATGCAAGAAACAAGGCACAAACTGTATGCTTACTCTTTCCAACCAATGTTACTTGTATGCTCGAGGAAGTTCAAATCCCTGGGCAAATATGAGAAAACATGGAAAAGGTCTGTATAGAAAGCACGATGATACAAGGAAGGTCAGAAAACTCATAGGAACTACCTGTAAGAGTCATGATGTTTGTGCTGAAGTATTTGTCTCTTTGATTTTTTATTTCTTGAAAAGAAGCTAGAGAATCAGCTTTGGGCATGCTCTTGCATATGAGAATAAATGACTTAGAGGTTATTTAACTAAAACAGCTCTACCAATCATGACAAAAAGAAGAAGAAGATAAAAAATAGGATACTTCATATCTATACCAACATATCTGCATTATATATATATGGAAAGAAGTTTCCTTATTGGATCAAGTAGGGAACTTCCCTACACAGCACATCTTATTTTTTCCATGCAAAGAAATAATGTGAAAGATCCAAACCACCGATTGGGTACTGGATCATCTGAATTGGTCAGGTGTTCACCCCTCAAGTCATTGGTGGTTTCTAAGTTAGTTGCTTTCAGTGCTCTTTTTGCTCCTAGTTAGTTGCACATGGAAGATTCCTAAGTCACTTAGGGAAACTGACTAAAGGATCAAATCATTTTGTTCATTTAGAAAATATGCTTCATTTTGTTAGAACAGAAACTGTTTTTTTATCATTAACAGTAAAGAGGTTTTAATAAAAATGAAAACTAAAAGTCTTTCATTCCCAACGTTTATGAATAAAAGGCATAAGCTACAACAGCCAAGGGTAGACCTAATTCAGAGCATATATAAAGATTCTTATCGAAGTCAAGCTATTTTCACAGTTTTAGAATCCCCCCCCCCCGGACCATGTTTAATTCACAAACTCTCTCATCAATTTATTGATGTCTGGGTGTTCCGTGTTCGTTGGTCCATTGTTCTTGAAAATGCTCCTGAGAATGAATTTGAATTACCTTAATGTTAAGTGATGCTTTTACACTCAATTCAACAAAGCCTTGTCCTAACTATATGAGGTTGGCTACATGATTTCATCATTATGATCTATGAGTCCTTGAATCATTTCTCACTACTTCAACCCATGTCCTTTTTGACATGTCCGTAGCTATTGTAGACCCTTCAACTTACAAAAGACCACTTCTTCTTTTACACTCAAATTTAGTCATTTGTTTAATGCTCGTTTTTCATTAGTGACCTTACACTTATAACTAGCAAGTAACAAGTTAACATAGTTGGACAGTTTTTCAGAATTTGGTTTTCTCATAGATGCACTAGTTGATTTTCCAAGGGATAATGAAGCATAGGGATGAACCTAACATTGTGTACCTGCATATGGTCAGCAAACATCAATAAATAGGTGATCCTAGATGATTATCAATCTATTTAAATTTGAAGGGAAATTCTTTCACCCAAAAGCAAAATGCCTTTTTTTCTACACTTCCCAAGGATCTTTTCTTCTCATTTTGGGCATATCTTGGAATCCAAGGTTCACTCAAACAATTCATAACTGAATATCATAGTTTTACATTTTGTTTACCATGGTATGTCAGGGGCACATTTGCAAGGCCGTGTTAACATTTTATCCCAAATGGAGCAAGTACCACCTAAGACAACATCATAAATGTGCATGGTCATTCAGAGTTATACAGTTTCATTCCTTACTTGCCTCTTTTAATGTTTTTTTTTTCTCAATAAGATCTTTCTCTCCCCTCTTCCTCTTTCTTCTTCTTCCCTAATAGTCAGTTTTCTCACTTTGCTAAAGGCATCATTCTTATTGCCAGTTTCCCTGTTTATGCAGATGGCTGGATGTATTAGACCACTACACTTTGTATGTCCAACAAGTCATGGTCCTAAAATCCAGCTACTGAGAGAACAATTGCTTCCATTCTCAAAATTGCAAGAAACAAGGTCAGTATGTTTGTTGTCTCCATTCTCCAAGGAGGTCAGTTTTTTACTCAAGTATACAACGAGTGCATAAGAAGGTATTAATTTTCAGACCATGACAAGAAATAAACTTTTTTTTTGGAAGAAAGGACAAGAAATAAACTATGAACTTAAATTTTAGGACACAAAAAAAAGGATCATTTCCACTCATAAGTTTGAGTAGAATTTCTAATTTTAGTTGATAAGTTGATTATAGGGTTAGGCTGATCGATAAATATTTTGAAAAGGAAAGTGGCCAAGCATTTGGACGAGAATATGATCCTTTGGACGATTGAGAGGCTCTGAACTGGTTGTAATTTTATGTGGGATTGAGAGGCTCTGAACTGGACAGATTTCCGTATTCTACTTAGCATTTGGACGAGAATATGATCCCAATTTCACCCCATCGTAACGAGCTCAAACATGGGAGCCATAGTAGTTAGTGTCACTTCATTAATTCTTCCTATAGGCTAGTCGGGGCATATTCAAGTGGCAAAAAAGTACTACAATCTGGAGGATGAATTCGTCAACGATTAAATAATAAGACCATACTACAATTCTATTATAGTATTTTATCTAAAAAGTTGGGGATGTAGCGAACATAATGAAGACCTTTTCAATTGAGATGGCAATTCACAAAGTTCGTAGCAAGGAAGAAACCAACCGTCTTGTGATATGAGAGGATAGTCGGACGCACTGAGATTTATAAACCAGTCCCACTCCTTGGCCTGCTTCAGTAGAATTGCGATAGCATGTAGCGTACAGGCAATCATTGTTGGGCCCTTGTAAGTGACCATGTTGGCTTTACCCACAACCAGTACATTGTTGAATTCCCGCAAAACCCGATCAGATTTCGCAAATTTGGCTAGCTCAAGCCGTTCGGCAGGAGAAGCTTCAACATCCAGATGCAACAGGTAATAATTCCGTGGGTGATAAACAGCTTGCAGGACTCGTCTTAGTTGTTGTCCATCCCCTTTCGTGCCAGATATCAAGTAAGCAAATCTTGGCAACCTCGGAAGATCTGATGGATCCTCATTATTGACATAATTTGGGTCCAAATTCATCGATTTCCGTCGAACAGTAGAGTAATCAGATATTGTAGCAGATTTTGCATGACCCAGAGTCACTACGAGAAGCACAGCAACAGAAACTACGGAGCTTACAATCAAAGGCATCAGCCACTTTCGCTCTAAACCAAAAGGGAGCTGGCTTCTCTTCATCGCTTCGTCAAGAAATTAGGGCTAGGTTTAGAGTTTTGGAAATTGAAACATATGAAAATCCAAAACCCCAACCACAAATGACAGATCTCAAAATCGAAAAAAAAAAAGAAAAGAAAATTGAAGAGCACAGACGGCTTGCAATAAGCAAGGCAAAGGTGGCGCTGAAATAGGGATGAATCTGATTTGATTCCAATGGGGGAAAAACGGCGATGCCAGCGATTGATTTAGCGGTTTTGATTGATGAATAAAATGGATTTAAGCTCTAAAATGCGAAGCGAGGAAGTAGTACTCTGTGTTTATGACAGATGAAGATTCTATACAAGCGGTTTAAACGGGACTGCAGAGGGAAATGTCAAATGCGGGTATGAGGGATGGTACAGAATCTACAGATTTTTTTCCGAGTTCAGACTTCAGACAACATTATAATTTGGAAAATGCTACGTAGATAAACTCGGGTTGTGTCGTAGTGGCATAGGGAGGGCTTTTTCGTCAATTTATGATAATATCTAGGGACGATTCCGTATTGGCCCATTTTTTATTCGTTTTGGTTTGGTTTGGTCGTGTATGTTCGCACGTCAATACAGGGTCCCATTACACCACCAACTGCAATTTCAGCCGTACATCGGAAACATTTAAAGGAGACCGAATCAGCCCCATAAGTCTGCCTCCCACAACGTCCCACAATACATCTCTGCCGTATAGTGGGAACATCTCCCGATGATATATCAGAAGTGATGATGTCATCATCGGGAGATGTTTTTAATACACCGCGGGAATGTACTGGAACGTTGTGGGGGCTGATTTCAACTCCATAGGGGATGTTGCTGATGTACGACTGCAATGTCTATCAGGATCAGAATCGTCGGACACGCTAGATGCTCGGTTCTCGCTAGTCCTGGTCTACCACTAACAATTTAACAAAACTACACTGGGTTTTTCCGACCTTTTGTCGGTTGATGACTTGACTCAACAACTGAACCACCTGGCTAATACGCGATATAATTGCGGTAAGGGTCCAAAGTCCAGGAGGCTGATCAGGTTTTAAGCTCAACCGATGCCCATCGAAACCTAAGAATTGGGCTTAAGGCCCAAATTCGAACTATTCAATTAGATGCCAGCCTATATTATAATTGAATGCATTTGAATTGGGCTTGGGCCTGACCCAGGATAGAGTTGATCCATGAGCCAAAGGCTCAGTTTGGAAAGAGTACAAATACAATTATATAGAAAATAATATAAAATACAAGATTTTGTACTCCACAAATTTGTATTTATACTCCTTTCAAATTAAGTCAAAGGTTCAATTTGTAAAGAACGTAAATGATGTGGGTTAGCTTGGCCCAGCCAACGTAGGGCTAGAAGGCCCAACCCACTAACACCTACTAATGTCAACCACAGTAGGTGAGAGCTTTGCTGCCTTTGTACGAATTTAATCACATAATTATCTGGCGCATCGCCAGGGCCTGCAGCCTGACCACGTACGACTCTCATCCGAGGCATTCATCTCTACCTACCACCAGCACGCTCGAGTATAAATAAGAGGTAACTGCCCCTGAAAAGGGGCTGGAACGGAGTAACTCCAACATTTACTCACTCATTTACTTCTTGCACCTGCATTGTCTACCTAGCATTGATTCTAGGAGATCTGGTGCATCCGAGGACTTTCTCTAGGAGCACTCTCACACTCTCCCCAGCTTCACACCTCGTACTAACTTGGGCGTCGGAGCCTCCAACTCGGGTATCCACCTCGAGGCCTCTAACACTCCCTATCTTGCAGTATCTCAGGCCACCAGGGACCTTGCCTCGACTAGCAGTCCTCGGCTACCATAGTCTTCGGAAGTAGTACTTTGCCTCAGTTTGTTGCTCTCGTCTTCGATCAATCTCTTCCGAAACCTCGGGGTCCTTGGATAACGTCGAAATTTAAAGAGTAAATTTACCTTGTTGCCCTCGGCCAAACTGCGTGGCAACAATTGGCGCCATCTGTGAGAACGTGGTTGCTAAGACGACCCCCACTTCAGGATAAACAACAATAATACTCTAAGATCCAAAATCCCTATAAGCTTGGAAGCCATGGCGAGGAGATCCAGGAACACTCCGAACCTGGTTACATACGAACAATTTTAGGCCGTTCTTGATCATTTAGACTGCTTCACCCAACGAATGGAAGAAGTTTGCCCCCGAGCAGGAGGTCCCTCTCAAGGCGACCACCCCGCTGGGGTGTCAAAGGATCAAGGTCAGCGTGAGAACATTAAGATACCGGCCCTCGGCCATGGTAATCCGCTGGTTGGACCATCATTATCGGGCAATAACTGCCTCTCAGACTCACCTCGAAGGAATGTCTGTCCTACGAGCCGAAGAAAGAGTGTGCCCGCTCAATCCGAAGACAGTCATCAATCTTCGAAGCAGCACCACCGCCGTCGTAGGGAGGCCCCCCAGGACGATGGCAGGCAGTTCGGTCGCCCTGGAGTTTGCTCCCGAGGCGAGAGCCGATGCCATCCCACTCCACCTCCCGTTTCAGACCTCAGGGACATTCTGAATGACTGTCGCGCCCGCAGAGGAGCATGCGACCCTGTCTCGGATTTTTGGGAGTCCAAGCCGACACCCATCGGGTATGCAAAGACAAGAGCAGGGCCCAGGCCCGTGCCGACCCAGGGATCGCCGAGTTGCGAGCTGAGATTGGGGTCATCAAGGACGAGCTCCGCCAGGTTAAGGATAGCCGAGCCGACACCTCAACCAGTCACGGCAACTCCGCCGGTCGCATGGACGCATTCACCTTGGAAATCATCTTGGAGCCTCTCCCCCCACACTTCAAGAATCCCACACTGGAGACGTACGACGGAAGCACTAACCCCGATGACCACCTGGAAGGTTTCAGAGTGCTCATGATATTGTACGGCTATTCCGACGCCTTAATGTGTCGAACCTTCCAAGCTACCTTAAGGGGGGCTGCTCGTCGTTGGTTCTCCAGTCATCCTCCTCGATTAATTAGCTCGTGGGAGCAACTTACAATCATGTTCCTCGCCCGCTTCATCAGCAGTAGGCGATGCCAGAAGAGAGTAGTCTCTCTAATGTCGCTCAAACAAGAGTCAGGTGAAAGCTTGCAGTCTTACATCGATCGCTTCAAGAAAGAAGAGCTCGAAGTTCGAGACCTCAACCCTATAGTCTCTGTGCATGTGGCCATCAACGGGCTTCGCCCCAGCTCGGCTCTCAAGTGCTCGGTGGCCAAGACCCCACCGAAGACCAAACTCGAATTCTTCAAGAAGGCCCAGAAATACATCGCGGCCGAAGAGGCTTCGGCCAGGGACAACCAAGAAGGGGCAGCCGAGTGCCACGATGGGCCCCTGAAGAAGAAGAGGAAAAGTGGAGACCAATGTCCCCCTGACAACAATGGCGGCAAAGACAACAAGAAGCCCACCACCCTGGCCTATAGGGACTACATGTCACTCAACTCTACCCGCACCCAGATTCTGATGCAAACAAGGGAAGAGAAGTTCATGAAGTGGCCAATGAAGTTGAAGCGGAACCCCAAGAGGGGGAACCCTACGAACTACTGCAAGTACCACCACGGCACCGGACACAACACCGATGATTGCTACGATCTAAAGAATGAAATAGAGTCCCTCATTCACTAAGGACACCTCAAGCAGTTCGTCGAAGGAGAGGTCGGTGCCTCGTCATCCTAGCAACAACACCAGCAAATGGCAAGCGTCATTGACGTCATCGCTGGGGGCATGGCCTCGGGTGGAGCCTCGGCTTTGGCTCGAAAAACCTACGCCAGGCAGCTCAACATCCAGGAGCCTGCCCCGAAGAAGTAGAAATACCCGGACACTCCGCATAGGCCGAGATGTTCACATGCCCTCGTCTTCACCGACGAGGACTTAGAGGGGGTTATTGTCCCCCACGATGATGCCCTCGTGGTCGCAGCCATCATCTCCAATTTCATGGTAAAGAAGATTTTAGTGGATAGTGGCTCGTCAACTGACATCATTTTCTATGACACCTATGAGAGAATGAAGTTAGCGCTAGAGAGGCTCCAACCAACTAATGCTCCTCTCGTCGGCTTCTCCAGCAGCCTCACCAGGTCGAAAGGAAAGATTACCCTGCCCATCACGGTGGGGACAGCGCCGCACCAGGTGACTTGGATGCATGAGTTCCTAGTGGTGAAGGTTGCCTCTTCCTACAACGCAATAATGGGAAGACAAACCCTTCATGCACTAGGGTCAACCATGTCCTCTTATCACCTGACCCTTAAGTTTCCCATAGAGCACGGTGTCAGAGTCGTTTGTGGGAACCAACAGATCACCTGCTAATGCTACATGGCGACACTAAAAGAAAAGAATAAGGAGGCCTTATCACTAGAGAGCCTCGACCCCCGGGAAGAACTAGCAAGCCGAGGCTAACCAGCCGAGGACCTTGTCTTGGTTCCCCTGGATGAGTTAGCCCCGGAGAGGACAATCCGCGTCGGGTCCAACCTCCCCCCTAAACGCCTATTTGAACTGGTAAGTTTCCTTAGAACTAACGCCAACGTCTTTGCTTGGTCCACCGCTGACATGCCCAGAATTGACCCTTTGGTCATTACTCACAGGCTGAGCGTGGACCCGAGCTCTAAGCCAGTTTGACAAAAGAAGAGTAACTTTGCACCGGAACGATGGAAGGCTATAGGAGAGGAAGTTGATAAGCTACTCAACGCTGGCTTCATCCGTGAGGTACAATACCCTAACTGACTGTCTAATATGGTTTTGGTAAGGAAAGCTAATGAGAAATGATGGATATGTATTGACTTCACAGACCTTAATCGAGCCTGTTCGAAGGATAGTTTTCCTTTGTCGAGGATAGACCACCTCGTTGACGCCACTATAGGTGATGAAAGGTGATTTGGCCTGACCTAGCGAAAAGGGGACACATGAACATGACTTGACCTGAATATGGGATGACAGCTCAGCCTAGCAAGCCTAGTTCGCAACAATTGAGCTCAAGTATTCAATCACCTCGGTACAGAGTCACCTCGGCACAAAGTCACATCGGCATTCAATCCAGTTTGGAACTAAAGAACTGAAGTATCAGCTCAGGGCTACCGACCCGGACCGCCACATAACGATTCCAGAAGTTTCTCCAGCAGACTCCGAACCTCACGGGATCACGCCGCATAACGACAGGCCTAATCTTCTCTCCGCCCGGATCGGGCGGAATTGATAATCTTTATTAATTGATACGTTACTCCCCAATTAAAGTGAAAACAGATCCCCTCAAGACGAAGATCCCGGAATCGATCCGCAAAACCCGCGAGAGCTCAACTATATAAAGGCACCAACCCCAAATGACACAAGGTACGCGTGATCTTTCTACTCTCTAGCTCTCAAAGCTTTCAGCTTGCATAACAGCGTACTAACTTATGCATCGGAGCGACCTCGCCAGGTTAGCCACCCCGGGTTCTCTAATCCGTTGTCTTGCAGATTCACCTAGCTCGCTGCTCGATTGGAAGTCAGATCATCCTCCTGCGAGGAGTAGACAGATCGCGCTAAATCAATTGGAGTCCTCTGTGGGAAACGACCGAAAAGTCATCCCTCTTACAAGTTATCAACCTTCTTCTGAATCAATGGCATCTTCTAGTCACGCTGGACAAAGCAGCGAGATGAACGTCTCCGGGAGACAACCCCAACTCCCTTCAGTGTGCATCGGCCAGTTCACCATTCTGCTTACTGCGGTTGGGGTTCCAACGCTGACCGTGTCACCGAGCACCACACAGGTGAACGCCCCACTCCCCCTAGTTGTAGGCGCAACCTTTTCTGGGCCTTTTGTGGTTCCCCCCAGAGTTGGACAGTCACAGTTTAACGACCTGGTGCAGTGTGTTCTACCAGCAGTACCAGCAGCAGTTCCCCCCACTGCCGCAGAGCCAGCAGCCGGTTCCACCTCGGCACCCAAGGGCCCAACAGAATCAGAACCGACCTCGTACGAACCAGGATGTCATCCGATCTCCCCACCGAGGCGAAGAGACTTCCCAAGTCCCAGTAACTCCCAAGAGTCAGGTCTCACCCCGCAGGAGGAGAGACGGTCAGATTACTCCCCCTACTTTGCAAGGGAACCTTGAAAACAGGTCCGGGGATACTCAACCTAAGAGGGCCAATCTTCCTCGGCATTCGCAGCAAGAAAATGATGGATCACTTGCAGGTAACCAGTTCGGGGTTCGGGGTGCAAACTCAAGATAGAGCCTCTCCGTCCATGATAGCCAGCCCCAAAATCCCACGAGGAACCAGGAGCTACCTTGCGGCAAAACGGTACCGGAGCATACTTAAATCAGCAGCACCAATGCCGAGCCTGTAAAGAGGTAGCAACGAGGGCATCGCAAGGCACACCGTACTTCAACTCAGAACAGCTAGCCAGCGAGACCGAACCAACAAGAAGGACATGCTAAAGCTAAGGAAGAGGCAAGCTCAGTAGCTACAAAGGCCACTCCTCCCCTACCTTCGAGGTTGTCTCCCCTGTCTTCCGAGCTCTTGGCAACCCCGATGCCTAAAGATTTCAAGATGCCTCACTTGGACAAGTATGATGGGTCTTTTGATCCTAATGATCATGTGGACTCCTCCCAGTCCCATATGCACCTAGCTGGGGCTAACGAGTCTTGTATGTGCATGACCTTCTCCACCACTATTAAGGGGATAGTTCGGACCTGGTACTAGAACCTCGTACCGGGATTGATCAAGAGCTGGGCGCAGTTCGCAGACAACGAGGAACCTCCGCGTTGTGCTACGTAGCCGCCCTTAAGGGGAAAGCAAAGCTAGCAGCTAACAACGAGCTCGAGCGACCAGCAGAGCATGCCGACGAGCGAGCTGCCCCAACAGAGGAGACGGTCCACATCCCGATCTCAACCGATGACCTGGCCAAGACTCTCTAGATCGGTGCTTCGATCGATGAGCCACATCGCTCTCAGATGGTAAGCTTCTTACTAAAAAATTTAGATATATTTGTTTGGTCCGCGCAGAGATGCCCGAAATAGATTCCAAGATTCTAACTCATAAATTAAATACCGACCCCTTAGTTAGGCCAGTTAGACAGAAGAAGCGCAACCTCGCCCCAAAACGTTGGAGGGTAGTCGATGAAGAGGTCGGGAAGCTCCTAGTGGCAGACTTCATCAGGGAAGTCCATTACCCGAGCTGGGTTGCTAACCCAGTTCTAGTAAAAAAGGCCAACGGAAAGTGGCGCATGTGCGTCGATTACACCAACCTGAATAGAGCCTGTCCGAAAGACTGCATCCTACAGCCCAAGATCAACCACCTAGTGGACGCGACCTCAGGGCATGAGTTGTTGAGCTTCCTTGACGCCTATTCGGTTACAACCAGATTAGGATGGACCCCGCCAACGAAGAAAAAACTGCCTTTATAACTGAGCTTGGGTTGTATTGCTACAAGGTCATGCCCTTCGGACTAAAAAATGCCGGGGCAACCTTTCAACGACTTGTAAATAAAATTTTTGAGCCATTAATTGGCAATAAAACCGAATGCTATGTTGATGATCCCAACAGAAATCGAGGTGCCTACACTACGCTTGGTGGCCTATGGTGAAGAGACGAATGATGACGAACTCCGTACAAACCTAGACCTGGTGGAAGAGGTACGAGACCTGACATACATCCGGACTGCAGCCTACCAAGAGAGAGTAGCTTGGTACTATAACGCTCGGGTCAGAAAGTGACACTTCGTCATCAGCGACCTGGTTCTTCGAAAGGTTATGGTACCTGAGCCCGGCGTTGGTAAGCTCAAACCGAATTGGGAAGGTCCGTACCGAGTAAGACGGGTGTTCGGGGAAGGTACGTATGATCTCGAAACTCTAGGAGGGAAGCAAGTACCTCGAGCATGGAACATCGGCAACCTAAGAAGGTACTACTTGTGATCACCGAACAGGAGAGAGGACTGCGAGTCACTCCCATAAACCCAAGGGCTATGATGCCGAGCTGACATAAGACCTCGTCACTACGCTAAGTCCTAGTTGCCTCCTCGGCATAGGCAAATAAAACTCAGTCACATCTTTGGCATGGGCGGATAGGTCCTAGTCGCCTCTTCAGCATAGGCCGACAAGTCCTAGTCGCCTCTTCAACATAGGCAAACCAGTTCTCATGCCTGAGGCATAGACAGTTCGGGTACAAACCCTACTATGTCTAACCCACCTCGGCATATAACAACAGGTTGATTCCATTTGAAATCAGGTTCGATGGCTCGACACTAAGGGATAACTGACACCTAAGCGACTAGCCCGTCTGCAAACAGGTCAGGTATATACCCTACAGTGTCTGCCCACCTCGTTAGCTCGACAGCTCGGGATAACCAACACTTAGAAAAAATCTACTCCTGTTTTTGGTTTAGTTCGCCAAAACGGGAGTTATTTACACTTAGAATTTTTTTTGCACAAAGATAGACAAAATACTTGTATTTAATTAATGTAAAGTTTTGAGTACAAAAAAGAGAGAAACTTTCACTATGAACCGAGCTCGGAGGCTCGGGGTGTACATCATAAAGGTCCAAGAAAAGTGGCATTTAGTCACTTCGGGGCTCCTCACTTGTTGGAGGCTTCGGTAGGAGGATCCGTCTCCATGTGGCTTTCGCCAGCACCAGTCTCCTCATCATCATCGAACAGGTCA